AAGAAACAGCACAGTAGAAAACGCAGGGTAAGTTCAAAGGAGTGTTCTTTGAGATCAAAGAAGTAACTGCAGGTCTATATACAGACCTGAGGAAACTGAAAACATAGAGAAAACAGAGGAGAACTTCTGGGCCCATTAACTCTGATTTTGGCAGAAGGCATGGCAGTTAGAAGATGGGTTTCAGATAGCAGCATGCTGGTTCACCTAAGGTGAAAGATGAGAAGGCATAAAATACAGCAGCATGCATAGGTAAGAAGGTCATGTAGTGGAAATCTGTAGAAATCTTCTTCTTTCAATTTTTCAATGAGGTCACCAGCTGAAAGTGGGGATTTGGAGAGTTGCTGGGGCTTTAAGGAGGGAAGAACCAATATTAAAAAAGAAAGATTTCTATAACTGTACAGTGATGAATGTGAATGAATCACACTTATTGCGGTGATCATTATGTAATATATACAAATATCAAACTGTTATATTGTACACCTGAATATAATATTACATGTTAATGATACCAATAAAACTTACAGTAATAATTAAAGATTATGCCATTAAAAAAATAAAACAGTTTGAGAAAGCAGAAAGGGCCCGGGAGGAGGACACACAGTGCCCACTTGAGGCTCACGGTCATAACTTTAAAATAAGGCCAATCACTGTGGCTGCTGACCAACTGCACAGGTGCAGGCCAGGAGGAGGAGTGTTAAGACTTAATCAGGATTCTTGCAGTTCTGTCAAGCAGGTGTTGCAAAGCAACACAAGAGCAACAGGAGAATATAGGGGTATTAAAAAAATTATAAGAAATGATTGAAGAATATAAGCAACGTAAGGAGAGGTTGAGGGCATTAGGGGTTTGTAAATCCTGGTGGGATACTTCCCTCACCTGGACAAATTCCTCGATAGGGAATATTTCTTTGTACCTTTAGTGCAAAGCACAATATTGGCTCATAGATGTTGAACTTATGTTTGCCAAATAAAGAAACATGTTTGATAAACAGCAGGTACATGCTCACAAAAATGTGATTAAACCAACTCTTTTGTGAAAGCTTTTTACTCCACCTATTCCCTCCAAGGAGGTGCCAATTTGCTTCCAAAAATATGGTATTTTTAAAATGAGACACATCTTCATTTCAAATAATATATTCAAGAATAATTTACCTTATTTTCAGTTTTCTGTAACATAATATGGACTAGAAATAACTTGTTATTTGAGTTACAGTTGAAATTTACAGTGTCTCTTATTTTTAGTTGGGGTATTCTTTAACGTAGTTGGTAATCATCAACATAAAAAATAAACTCTCTAGTCAAATTCCCAAATCCATGGTTATAGAAAGTCAAGGTGGAAATGGAGAAAAATAAATCAGCACCAATACAAGATAGAATATTGATGTATTTTAAATCCCATGCCAAGCAGTCTAGATAGTTCTAACACACAGGGTTGTAAATATTACTGAACAAGGATATTTGCTACTGAACAAAGATAAATCCAACACACTCAAAGTTATGGCCAATGAATTCCAAACTATAACTTTATTTTCAAACATCAATCCCATGTTTTATGGCACGACCTAGAAACCTGAGAGTGAAAAGGATCAATTAGCTAATAATACTAAAAAAATCTATAAAATATTAACATCACTGAGAAATTAAAACAAATATAACAGTGAGCCTACTATTAAAACTACTGAAGTATGACTGTAAGTTTTTTAATGTACGGAGATATATTTTTTAAAAGACTAAAAGAGAACACTACAATACAAAACAGTAATCTTATCTTTCTTTTATGTATTTTCCTATTGAATGCGACTTTTGGATGAGTTTTTAAAATTCTGTAAACATGCATGTGGTGAACTAGTAAATATTATATATAGCACTGGAAAATAGTCTTACATATGGGTCATCATATCTGAAAAATTCTGTAGCTGTGTTTTACCATTTTGGGCTTCCCAGGTGGTGCTAGTGGTAAAGAACCTGGCTGCCAATGCATTAAGAGACTTGGGTTGGATCCCTGGGTCAGGAAGATTCCCCTGGAAGAGGGAATGACAAGCCACTCCAGTATTCCCACCTGGAGAATCCCATGGACAGAGGACCTGGCGGACTACAGTCTGAGGGGTCAGGAAGAGTCACACACAACTCAAGTAACTTAGCACTGAAGCACAATGTGGATAAGGATAAGGATCAGAATTCTGGCTGTTTTTCATAAATTCAATGTGAGCACATTAAAATGTCTTTTTTCTCATCATAGTAGTTAAAAACAAATTGACCCAAACACTCTCTTATGCAAAAAACAAAAAAAGCAACATTTTCAGTTATGAAATAGGGGTATAAATGAAAATTAACATAAAGGTTTATATAGAACTTCATAAAAAAGAAAAATGTAGAAATCATAAGAAAACAGTATTTTTCTAACTAGGAAAGATATTATTTTCCTTAAGAAAAATCTGCTTTCTGGAAAATGTTTCCTGCCAAACAAAACTCAAACAGCTCCATACAAAATTTCCTAAATTGCTACTGTAATGAATGACTGCCAGTGAAAATAAAACTATTTTCATGAAACTTCATGCATAAATCTTCACTTCTAATTGCACAACTCAAGTTTAAATTCAGAAATCAAGCTGGAGCTCTCCCAAGTAACAGGAAGACAGTTGTAGAGCTGATGAGGATTTGTTGAGGTCCTCATCAGATTAGCTTCAGATGCAAAGGAGTGGCAAAACTCACAGTTTCTTATTCATCAATAAGACAGACTCTTTGGGTATTACTCCAGAGAGAAATGGAAATACTACAACACTGACTATAAAAAAATAACTGCTTAATCTACTGAAGAACAACTGTTTTCTCTATGATGCTGGAGTCTGTACAGATCCACTCTACAGGTCTTCATCAAGATGGTAAGGTTTTCTTCTTTTCAAAGTTCGCACCATACAAATGTGTCAGTTGTCAGGAGCAGATGACATCCTTCTCATTAACCCAAGTCTGTCTTGTTGAACTAGGCCTCATTTTTCTCTGTCACGTCCTTAAAAACCTGAATGCCCCCATTTAAAATCGTCCCTTATTCTACCCGACCCTCCATCTACTTCAAAGCACAAGCACCAAACATTCCTTCTAGCCTCGAAAACCCAAGTGCTCCTAGGATAGGATTACTCTCGCTTTTATTCAATCTTTTCTTAACAGACCAAAGTTGCAACTTAACTGCGGAATAATTTCATGAATGTTTCAATTTTATCTATGCCTCTTCTGTTTAATGAAATAATTAACAGAAAATAATCAAGTCTGAATTACAGTTAAACTTGGAGAATGCTTAAATTCCACCCACTGGTCACAGAATTAAAGCATTTTATAAAGACTACTAGGAAAACTGCCTCATTATAGAACCTATCAGAATAACTAGAAGAACTAGAAACAAAAAAACCATAAAAGATGATGTATCTCAGATTACCTATCTTGTGGGCCTTACATAGTAGTTATTAATTTTCACTGATGCAATTTTTCCTTCTGAATTTTAAACTAACATTTAACATTTACATCCTGGGTCAAAGTGGAACTCCCTCTACATATATATTTAATAAAATCAAAATGATTAAATATCACAGACAGCAAAATATTCTGATAGCAGCTCAGTAATCTCAATTATCTTCCTTTGAACATGATATTAATAGTCAGCCCTTCAGGTGAGGGAAGTCATGCACCACAGAGACAGCACAAGAACCGACAGTCAAAAGGATAAATTACAAACGATGTTAAAAAGTGGTCTCTGGAGAAGCTTATGTTTCATCAGAACAATACTGATAGGCATTCTTAAAATCCAAAACTTTGTTAATCTTTCTGATTAGAAGTAATAAAAGAAAAATGTCCTAAACAAAACTCCTATACATTTCCTTATGACTTAAGTGCTATTTTCTTCCAAGCTTCAGGATGGAACAAAACTGCACCATTCTCAAATTAGGAAAGGTAATCAGATTAGACATGCTTCCAAAGCTTCCTACTGCTGCAAAAGGACAACACAAATTGTACTTTTAAGAAACAGTGTATTTTTTTAAAAAAAACAGACACTCTGGAGATGATGTTTTCTTAATCACATTCCAAACCACAGAATACAATGTAAACATAAGTCATGAGAACTATGTTCCTCCTTGAAAACACTAGGCACACCATACCACCACCACTGAAAACACCGATGGCAACCTTTTCAAAAGCTACAACTCATCACAGGCTACTCCAAATAAAGTATCAGACATTCCAAAATAAATAAGGTTTTTCTCAAAGATATCTACCTGCTCAGATCCCAAAACTAGCTTGTCAACATTGGATAAAATTCAGATATTACCAAAGGAAACTTGTGTAAGAAGAAAACTCAGTCCCGCTTTTCAGTTCCCTAGGTACGTAGAGTTGGACCGTGCGCCCTATTTCAGTCAAGCAGACTTGCTCATAATATTTCAGTCATTGCTTCAAACATAAAAATTAATTTCTGAGGCTTCTGAACAAGGTGTAATGCAAGAGCTGCTAACGAGGAGATAAGGCCTTCCTGAAATAGCTAAAGCTTCCTAAGAAATCGCAACTTTAAAATCCTGCCTACTAAAGGAAAGAAATGTGATGATTTAAGAAGATAACAAGGAAGAGGTTACCGTGGAAAGGTAGATGAAAATGCAAGAGAGTCGGAAGCCTCATAATTGGCTTGTAGACCTCAAGAAGCTCAAATCCCTTTTAACTTTCAAAGAAAATTTTCTATCATTTTACCAACAATGTTGCCCCTATTAATCTACATGCATAACATTAAAATCAACTACACAGACTTTAGTTTTCTAGACATTAAGGATATCTTGGAAGTACTGAAAACAGTAAGGAGGAAGTCACTGAGAGAGGTATTTACAAGCCAAAACCCCACGTTTTTTATCCGGTATACTATGACCTCAGTTGGAATACTAATAAATCTGTAATTCGTTCAATTTTAAAACAGGAAATCACCGTACGAGACTTTTCAGGTAGCAATCACCAGCTGAAACTCAAGTTACCTCACATTCCATCCGCAGTAATGCACCAAGTAAAGGACCTCTCCACCTTCGACATCAGAATCCTTAATACTAGCTTCATACACTTTCTGATTTTTCCCTCGTCCGTACCGCACTTGGACTCTCATGCCTGGTGGATAGCACTCAAGCGCCTCTTCCTCATTGTGGCCTTCATCCTCTTCATCCTCTTCCTCCTCCTCCTCCTCCTCCTCCTCTACTTCTTCATCATCTTCCTCGTCCTCCTTATTCGTGTCATCTCTTGAAAGGTTTAAAAAACTGCAGTTAATAAAAGACACTTCATAAGCTTTTCAGTTCCAAACCACACAAACTGATAAAAATCGTGGCTGTGATTGTTCCGGGAATAGCAGGTTCCAAGCGTATGATATTCTCTGAATTTCAATTTAATATTAAAAACTAAAACTGCATAAGATGACCATGGATGAGTACAGAAAGATATATTCAGAGAAAATGAAAACTGAAAAGTAAGTGTATTGAAAGAAAATGTCCAACAGGCAGAAGAACAGAAGTTGTGCTGATCAGCAACAAACTAGCTAGTAAGGTTGACGCTAACATTTTTCTCATGTTTTATTGTAGAAGTTTTTTACAACTCAGCTAACAAAAACAAAAATCATCATACCTCATAGCCATTTTCTGACTAAAAAATATTTTTCATTCAAATATTTCCAACCTCCAGATGTTTAAACAAGTTTTTACTAGCCAATGGCTAGTCTTAATAATTAAAATAATTTCAACCAGATTTTCCAAAGTTGTATTAAATGAAATATTATTTCACCTTTTATAGGAATATCCTACTAAGTTCACATTAAAATCACATCAAGTTTTTTCTTTCTGTTCTTCTAAACTTCAACACAATTTCTGCTCTCTTTTCTCCATATTTACCAAAAGTCCTCTTCTACCAATTCTCTGAACTTTAAAGTTCTGAAGAAACAGGCATATGAGAGACCAGTTGCAAATATGAAACTTAAAGTCATTTGCATTCTAAAAGCAGCAATGCAACCATTCTGGTCTTCTCAATATCATATACTTTCTAAAACAATCATATTCATTTTATATTGACCACAAATTTGTATTCAATAAATTGGAGGAAAATCCTAAATTATAAATTTTCCAAGTACTAGATTTATTTTTTAAAAACTTCAACTAGTTTTAATTTACTCTGCAGTATGTCTATCCTTATTGCAACAGTTTGCTCTCAAAAAGAATCCATCACTTTATAGCTGACAAATGAATAAATGTCATAAAACAGAACCATAAGACAGATAAGTAACTAACCCTTCAAAGTTAATGGGTATAATACGTAGATTAAAAATATCTTCCTCCACTAATAATTTTAGTTTTATATTCTTATATGCAAACTTTTTTAGCAATAACATACTTTATCATTCCTAATTACACAATTATGTAGCAACAAAAAATAAACAAGAAATAGTGTCACAAGTAGAACTATAAGGCTTTTTTATTCTCCTACCCCTTTCCTTCTATACAGTGGGGCAAGCAGGGATGAAGGGAAGCTTAATACACTTATGAAATTAAGTCTGAATTCACAAAAGTACCAAATGAGTCAATTTCCTCTGAAATGCATCACAAAGTCTACAAAGATTCTTAAGAATTACTCCTATTTTAAAGACTTGTTTATAGTCAAATAGGTACTTAAAAATTAAATGAATCCAGCTGTAGTCTGAGATTAAAAAATATGAACTCTACTATTGAAAATATATTAACATTTCTATAATGAAAAAATTGTAAGTAAGGCTGAAATATTTAAGAAACTATCAGAAAGGCTGAAATACCTAGGAAACCATCAGATAAACTATTAACTTTAACTGATTTATATATATGTAATAAACATGTAAAATTAAAACTAATGCTTTTTCAGAAAGAATACTACTTGTTTAATCAGAAGATTATATCACTGCTCATCAGGGAGAAAAGGAAGTATATTCTGGTAGATACAACAAAGATGGATCATACACCAAAGAGATTCATCATGCATCTCAGAATCACTGTACAAAACATAAGAGAGATATAAAGACGATTAAAAGTCTAAAACGTTTTAAACGAAAACTAACTCTAAACTGTACATTACATTATTAAGCCAAAACTATATAGGACTGAGGGCTTCCTTGGTGGCTCAAGGGTAAAGAATCCACCTGCCAAGGCAGGAGACACAGATTCAATCCTTGGGTCAGGAAGATCCCCTGGAGGAGGAAACGGCAACCCATTCCAATGTTCTTGCCTGGAGAATCCCATGGACACAGGAGCCTGGTGGGCTACAGTCCATGGGGTCGCTAAGAGTCAGACACAACTGAGCGATTGAGCACACACGCACACGCAGCACTGAAGCCAACCAGCAAACGCCAGTAACAGCTAGTACAGTCCTACTTTAGGTGGTAGCCAGCGCAATCTTTTATGTAATCTGGAATAAAAACCTAATACTCTGTATTAATTTTTAAAAGCAATTAAAAATTAGAATTTCTCATTTAATGTCATCCTCAGACACAAACCAAATGAGAGTCACTCAATAACACGCTGAACTACAAAAAGGCATACAACACAATTACTGGCTATCAGCTGAAGCAAATACTCTCCCCTCCTTCTCTTCTCAGTGGCAAAATCAGAGGTAGACACACCAAACAGGACACAGAATGCCAAGAAAGAGAGCCCTTCCAAGATAAAATGTAGCCAGTATACTAAGCAGATGTATGCATTACATACAAACATAAACACAAAACACACATATTGCATCAGTTATCTTTTACATTTGGGAAACCAAATGTATCCACAAGGACTTTTTCATCTGAACTCACAAATATCAGATTTCCCAAGTTTGAGATCACATTCCTTACTTACAATGGACCAAAATTAAGAACAAAATAACCACTATAGTTTATTAGTACCTACTACGGGCCAGGCACTGAACCAGATATTTTACATAAATTTAATTATTTAATCTTCCACACCTGAACTACAAAGGAAAGACACTGAAAGGTCTTGCACCAGCTAATTACTCAGAGACAATTTATATATGAATTCTTTACAATCACAAAATTTTCTGTTGCACTGATCTAATAAAATTCAGAGATCAGTTGTGGATATTTATAACCCATAATATTCTACAACAGCCACATCAGGAAAATGTGTTTGTGGTATGATACATTTATAAATACCTGCAGTAAATAAAAAAGCCATAGGAATTTTCCTGGTGGTCCTTGCAGTAGGGGCAACGCAGGTTGAATCCCTGGTCAAGCAACTGAGACCCCACATGCCACAGGGCAACTTTGCCTGCGCGCCGCAAGTGCTGAGCCCGACCTCAGGAGCCCACGCGCTGCAACTAGAGAGAGGCCTGGGTGCCACAACCAAGACCTGACGCAGTCAAAAATAAAAACTTAAACTTTAAAAAAAGTGTGTAAAAATGTTAAAAATTTAATAAATACATAAGCCATATAGCTGAAGAATTTTAAAAAATCTACAAAACATAGTTTATACCATAAAATAAGCTGAAGTACCAACGTGAAAAATTAAGACAATTATTAGTCACAAAGAGAAAATACAGGCTTATTACAGGGCTTTCCACGCGGTAAATGCTCCAGAAATAGATGCATATTTATAAATCAGATTTTTAGGCTGAATCCTCACGAAATTTCTTAATAGCTGACGTAGTCTTCAAGTAGCAGCAAGCGTACTTCAAATATACATTTAACACACAGAAACATAACCAAGTATAATAAACAAACTATATTCATCTAAAGCCAGTTTTGTTTCATTTTTCCATGTTTATTTGCATGTTGTGGTCAAAATTTTAGAACAACACTAAAATGGCTCAGTCGATAAAGAATATGCCTGCAATGCAGGAAACAGGAGTTCAACCCCTGGGTCGGGAAGATCCCCTGGAGAAGGAAATGGCAACCCACTCCAGTATTCTTGCCTGGAGAATCCCATGGACGGAGGAGCCTGGCAGGCTACAACCATGGGGTCATAAGAGTCGGACACAACTTAGTGGCTAAACCACCAACCACCACCAAAATGAGCAAGAGATTTTAAGCAAAAAGATCCCAAGTAGAAATAATTTCCAGTATCACTAAGGAGTACTTGAAATACACATTTGTACACCAGAGAGACATATATATTACGAAGTGTAATAAACACATTTTACTATAGTCATCTAAGCATCGTTTTTCCCTCTTCCTTGCTGGTCTGCATGCTGTGGCCAAATTTTAGAAAATACGAAAATGATCAAAAAAATATATAGTTGTACTTATTTAAAAGAATCATTAACAATGGGGATGTTTAGATTTTTTTAAAGCCTCAGAAACAGGATGAAATGCCAAAGATCACCTATAAAATGCAGGGTCCACTGTCAGTATAGTTATTATTGATACATTGCTAAATAATTCTCAAACTGACCAAACCAAGTAAATGCTACTATCACGTAAAATGCAACATAACAATTTTGACTTTTTATAAACTAAGTACTAGCAGTTTTCCATTCTTATTTTTTGCTTAAAAAATGATTACAACTCTCAAAATCTATACCCAACATACCATCTACAAAACACTGGAGAAAGCCATCTTCCCAAATTTGTATTATCTAGTTATGCAGCAGAGGCTAATGCAGTAAGAACTGTTCTTCTCTAGCTCAAGATTTCATAAATTTCCATGATGAGAGCAAGAATAATGGATCAGAAATATGATCTTTTTCTACAAATTTGCATTAGTAGGGTCTCTGAAGGAGGCAAATGCTATCTGCATAATAAATACAAATTAAAATCACTCATTTATTTTGTCAATCACATTTAGATTCATACAAACATACAAAGAGCAAATTATAAGAATTCATTCAGCTATAAAACGCATCTCAACCAAAAACAGATTTCTTACCCAGATTTTGCTTTTTCTTCTTCAGCTTCTACCTTTATGCTGAGGGATTCATCTGCTCCTGTTGTCTCACCATCTTTATCTTCCACATTTTCATTTTCTTCTGTTTTTTTCATGTTAACTTCTTTTTCCTGTTCAGATTGTGGAGGCACAGATTCTAATAAATTCTTTTTACTCCCCTAGAAAAAGATCAGAGGAACTAAACCAACAAAAGTAAAATTGTCAACCTAATTCCATTATCTAATTACCTAGCTCAGGAGGTACCAACCAGTACTGAGAAAGTTATTTTAACAATCTTCTGCCATCCCTAAAACAATGGCAAAAATAGCTAACAGCTATTTCAAACACAAAAATAGTATGTAATAAAGAAAATGCACGAACAATAAAATTTATAAGATAAATTAAATAAGGAATCTTTAGAGAGGATGGAGACAATGTACCAGAGAAAACAAAGGACTATTAACAGTATCCTATTTACCTGAGAGGGCTGAGGCTCCTTGCTTTCAATACCCTCTTCAAGAGGCTTTTCTTCTTTTGGTATTATATTCGCTTCCTCTTCAGTCTTTATTTCTTTGATTTCTGGTTCATTTTCTTCTTTAACTTTTATTTCTTTTACATTTTCACACTCCTTACAAGGCTTGTTAACGACTTTCTCTGGCAGTGCCATCTGAAATTCAATATTGGCCGACCTACAGTACTCCTCAAAACCATATAAGTATCTGGAAACACGAAAAGAAGTTATATTTGGGAAAACATTTTGAAATGTTATTGTAGAGTTGCGGTTTTTAAAATATGTGTTCACTTCTTCTAAGTTCTCAGATATTGAGCTACCTTAATACTCTAGCTTATTCTAGTTCAGTTCTTTACAATCTTTTTACTCAAATAAAAACTTTTTTCAAAGAAAAAGACTTCATTAAAAAACTGCTAAAAGTGAAAAGAAAGTCATCATCTTAAATGCAGTAACTGTAGTAACAGTAGCTATGAGAAGAACTAGTAATGGCATCTACTTATATGTCAGGTACTGGGCCTCTGAGTATATGTAAAATTTCACTAGCTGATCAGACTAATCATTACTATGAGACAAATAGTATTATCTCATTTTAAAAACAAGAAAATCAAGGTCTAAAAGAACAAATAAATGGCCAAAGGGCATAAACAACAAGTAACTGGCAGAACCAGGATTCAAACCTGGGTTTATGTGACTTTAAAACTTTGGCATTTTAACTTCTACACAATACTTTCCAAATTTGCTTGAGCACAAAAATTTTCTTCACAGATTATCTCACAGATCTAATATTCATGGAAATCAGTCCTGAATATTCATTGGAAGGACTGATGCTGAAGCTGAAACTCCAATCCTCTGGCCACCTGATGCGAAGAACTGATTCATGTGAAAAGACCCCGATGCTGGGAAAGATTGAAGGTGGGAGAAGAAGGGGATGACAGAGGATGAGATGGTTGGATGGTATCATCAACTCAATGGACATGAGTTTGAGTAAACTCCAGAAGTCGGTGATAGACAGGGAGGCCTGGCGTGTTGCAGTCCATGGGGTCACAAAGAGTTGGACACGACTGAGGGATTGAACTGAATATTCATGGACTACACTCTAGAAAATGCTATTATAGAGTGATTACTCTAGTAAACCATCCTTCAAATTACTAGCCTCAGTGATATGGTAAATTCCCTCCTGCTTTCTAGGTAAAATGCTGTTGAACATAGCTATATTGAGTGCACGGACTTACTTTTTATAAGCACATTTAACATTGTATCCTGCAGCTGAATTTAAGACAGGGATTCCAAGATCTTGGTAGACTTGTTTCCAAACAGCCCCGCTTTCAATCTAACAGAGTAAAATGAAAATTCAAAAATTAAAAGGTGGGGAATATGATAAAACTTTGATAAATAACAAATGTGTGTGCTTGTGTGTGTCTGTGTATTATGTAGTTCTATATTTGTTGTTTCTAGTCTCAAGGAATGAAAAATACCAATTTTGATAAATTCTAAATAAAATAATCTGGTTTACAGCAATGTTTTTAAGTAAGTTTTGGTATTCTAACAAACCTCAGAGAATTATAAATGCTGAAATCCTAGAGCATTTGACGTTTTACCTTTTTGGCCATGCCTCAAGGCATGCAGTTCCCAGCTCCCTGACCAGGGATCAAGCTTGCTTCCCCTACAGGGGAAGTTCAGAGTCTTAACCAGCAGATAGCCAGGGAAGTCCCCGTTTGACGTTTAAATAAACCCTGCTACGGTAAATAAGAAAACATCTACATTCCTGAATCAAAATCTTAATGAAATGACAGATAAAAAATTTTCCACGACGTATGATTTCCTATAATAAAGTCGTTTCATGAATCCTAGTAACACAACGTACCTTTCTCCCCCCAAAATAGTCTTAACTGGATGAGTACCATACATCATGGCAACCTTAAGATAATTTCTTCAGTTCAACAAAGACTTTCTGCGTATATGCACACATATATATGCAAATAATGTTTTCTATATATGTAAGGCACAGTGGTAGAAATCAAGGATATAAAGAATATTAAGACAGATCCCTGCTCTTACTGACCTTACAGTCTAATGGAGAAGAGACACAGAAAGAATTTCCACTAACATGGTTGTGTTATGACTCAGATAGCTTATGAAAGTTTGACAAACTTAATAGTAAATTGGAAAGCTCATTTTTAAAAATCTTCAAATTTAAATTTGGTCTGAGGAAGACCAGATTTCTAACTTGTACTCTTCATTTTCTTTTCCTTTTATTCTTAAGTTTTTGTTAATAGACACTTTTAGATGATTTTTAGATGAGAAAACATGTATGAAGAACATGTTTCACTTCTGATCCTAATACTTACATTATCAAATCCTCCAAGTTTGTGTACAAGTCTGAATAACTTAAAGAGATTCAAATTTCGATATCCAAGCACAGGTCGTTTGTTAATAGGTGTGCCTATTAAAGAAAACACGAATATATCAGAACCATGCTTCATATTTATTTAAATTTTGAAAAGATTCAAACATTACCATCAAATATATACAGTGCAATCTGTGTCTATATGAGAAAAATAGCCCTGGTTAATCAAAAATATATCTACTTAAATTCGTTTTATCAAAAACTTTTTTCCTATATCATATTTTTGAAACTTTATTTATATTTTATTTCACTTTCACTCCCCTGATGAGCAAAAGAATAAATAGTAAATGAAGCAAAATAAAACACCAACAAAAAATTTTAAAATATCAGTGTAACAATGTTTGGTAGAACTGAAAACAGTGTTGAGATAATTGATGGGCAACTGCTTCACAATGGGAATTACCTTTTATTTTCTTTGTATTTTACTAATTTACTATTATTATACAAAGTAAGTAATTCTAGAGTAAAGTTATAGTGTTGTTTATTCCAGGATGTAAAAAAGTAGGATACTAAAACTATCAGACTGTTAGAATGTGATAAGAGAAAATAACAGGATAGAGATACACAACCTATTGCCCTTTCCAAAAAACATATATTATATTTTATTCATTTTCTTCACTTTTTAATTTAGCTTATGTAAAAAAAGCTTAAGAAATAGCCTGCCTTCTTAGGCCAAGCCTCCATGCATACAAATAAACACATAAATCAAGGACATTTTATACTTTAGAATAAAAAGATAACTATATTGTAGTAGCCACTATGCTTTATGAGAGCAAAAAGAAGACCAAGCCCGCAGCTACTCATCAACAATATAAAACTGGATTAAAAAAACATGACTTCACAAAGCATAATAGCACTTCTAAGTGTCATTCATTCAATTTGTCTTTTTCTTCAAGTCAGAAAGCTTTCAGCCTCTGCCCTCTACCTTGCTAGCATGTTTACAGGAAAGGAGAAACTATACTCATAACAGCAGGTAAGAAAGAAACAGGGCCACAGTTACTAGATGACTAGATCACTGCAAGTTAAAAGTTAGTGTTAACACCGAGGAAACCAGATCTGAAAGAGACACGTGCACCCCAATGTGCATCGCAGCGCTGTTTATAATAGCCAGGACATGGAAGCAACCTAGATGCCCATCAGCAGACGAATGGATAAGAAAGCTATGGTACATATACACAATGGAATATTACTCAGCAATTAAAAAGAATACATTTGAATCAGTTCTAATGAGATGGATGAAAGTGGAGCCCGTTATACAGAGTGAAGTAAGCCAGAAAGATAAAGACCAATACAGTATACTAACACATATATATGGAATTTAGAAAGATGGTAACGATAACCCTATATGCAAGACAGAAAAAGAGACACAGATGTACAGAACAGACTTTTGGACTCTGTGGGAGAAGGCGAGGGTGGGATGATCTGAGAGAACAGCATCGAAACATGTATATTATCAAGTGTGAAACAGATCGCCAGTCCAGGTTGGATGCATGAGACAAGTGCTCGGGGCTGGTGCACTGGGAAGACCCAGAGGGATGGGAGGTGGGACGGGGGATCGGGATGGGGAACACATGTAAATCCATGGCTGATTCGTGTCAATGTATGGCAAAAACCACTACAATATTGTAAAGTAATTAGCCTCAAACTAATAAAAATAAATGGGAAAAAAAAATAAAGTTTCCTTCTAAAACAAAAAATAAGTAAATAAATAAGTTAGTGCTAATTACCCATGCTCATATTTCTTGAACCACAAAGGCAGATTCAAAAAGCTAAGACAAGGCTCACCTTGAGACTTGGTCACCTTTCTCTACACTTGATTTAATTGTTCTTAGTTTTATGTGGCTAAGTCATAAGACTTAAAGCCCATCTCAGAATGAATGCCATGTCTGTCTGTGTGTCTCTCTCTTACTCACATACACAAACACATACAACTTGCGGCTGGCAGTGATTTTAGAGAAGAGGCTTTTCTACAGGCATACAGGGAGGCTCAAATAAAATGACACTATGATTCCCATTCTGTTACTGTATTCTAATGTAAGGGTTCTTTGGGGTCCCCCAAAGAAGTGGTGGGATAGACAGGACAGAATACAGTTATTTACAGGTCCATGGCCATAACATCCATCAAAATACTGTCAAATCCCACATTCTACTTACTACGTGACAGACATTACACTAGGATAATGGTGGTACTGGTAATCAAAATGATAGCCATGACTACCAGTGACATGCACCTTAATAAACAGAATTCTTATTTTTAAGATATTATCTGAAAAAAAAGATATTATCTGCTATCTACATTAATAAAGAATGAAAGAAAAAACACTCACCTCTGTCTTCCATAAATTTGTACAATTGCTGAAGAAAGTTCTCCCTTTCCTCTGGAAATGGTTCTATTTCTTCCTAATTTTAGTCACAGAAGAATAAAATATTATTTTCCTCAGTTAAGCATTTTAATAACACAAGCAGATTTCCTACCAACAGCAAAGACTAATACTCACTAGAATATTTCAAAGGCTTTTTACCAAAAAAAAAAAAAAAATTACTTAACACTAAGCTATTCAAAACCAGAAAGTCTAGACATTTTATGCTTTACAGAGAAATATGTCCTAAAAGGTTATCTCAATAGTGACAATCCCAAATGTAAATGCTCATATAAGAAATGAGACCAACAAGATGGTTCATGAACTTTTTACCACATCAGAGATCTAGTCTTTAAATCACGGTCACAGGCTCAAGAAGACCTACTCTCACATATAAAATTGGGTCAGGGCTTAACATTGAAACTGACTCTACTCTTGCTCCTCCAGGAACTAAACAAGTGAAGGCCCCATCAGCTGCAACTAAAATTATCCTTCATTATATTCGGCCCCACAGTATAGTACTTCAAACTTATAAAATCAGTAAAGTGGGGAACAAACTTGATCTACAATACCTGAAGATTCAGACTTAGGGAAATCTTCAAGTAATAAAATAGTTCCCCGATTTATCAATTACAAGGGAGGGACTAGCTTCTTGCTGCTGTGGCCAGGGGCTGTGGCAGTAGGGAGCTGGTCCTGAAGCAACCTGCAAGGAGCAGGGTAGTAGGTGAGATGGAGGAACTCATCAATTCAGTGACCATCAACAAACATTTAATGAGCACCAGTGAGTGTAGGCACTATGCAAGGTGCTGAGTCAAAAGAGAAACAAGCGATGGTGCCTGCCGTTACAGAGCATGATCAGTAGTAACTGCAGAGGGAGCGATTCAAAATACACACTGAGGCTTTACAGTTACTCTGGTTGAAACAAAAGTATTCCAAGTGGTAAAAGTCAGAAGAATACTTTTCAACTGACAGCCTAAATATATCATTCTAATTTTAAAAATCATGTGTCTAAAATCACTGCTGGAGTGAGATTTGCCTCTATCTTAAAAGCAAGCAGAAAAAAGGAAGTTAAAGACAACAAAAACTTGTTATCGATAAAACTACTATGCTTGCTAATAATTGGGCAGAGAAGAATAAATGACAATTATTAGTTTGCTTATGATAAAATTTGTTTTTCTCAACCTAAACATGATCCAATGCACTGCATTTTGGTAAGGTAGTCAGACGTAAATCTAAGGAATACTGTTTTCTAGGCATTTTCTTAAATGCTCCCATGGCACAATATGTGACTTTCATAAACCACCAAATTTTTTCCTACTGCCAAAATTTTAAGTGAAGTTTGTATTTAACTTAAAAAAAAATGTTTAAACTGGAAACCAGATTTGCTTTTATGAAAACATCTGTAAAACATAAATCTAAGTAACAAAAAGTTTTGGTAACTAATATTTACTGATCATCTGTTACATGTTACCCACTATTACAGACACTATGAGTATGAGTACAAGTAAGATGGACTCCTGACCCTTGAGGAGCTTACTGATTAGCAGGGCAGAAAACAAATAGAAAATAAATACATGCACCTATGTAATGTGTGTATGCTGCTGCTGCTGCTGCTGCTGCTGCTAAGTAGCTTCAGTCCTGTCCACCTCTGTGCAACCCCAGAGATGGCAGCCCACCAGGCTCCGCCATCCCTGAGATTCTGCAGGCAAGAACACTGGGGTGGGTTGCCATTTCCTTCTCCAATGCATGAAAGTGAAAAGTGAAAGTGAAGTCGCTCAGTCGTGTCTGACTCTTAGAGACCCCATGGATCGCAGCCTACGAGGCTCCTCCGTCCATGGGATTTTCCAGGCAAGAGTACTGGAGTGGGTTGCCACTGCCTTCTCCGAATGCCATGTATATATGTAGGCAAAAATTTCTACAAGGGGTGGTATCTGTTTAGATTATCAAATGGAGTGATTAACTTTTCTTGCAGAAGGTGATGGTTCTCTCCTTTACAGAGAAAACAGGTTAGTAAGGTTTAAAAAACTCAACAGGAGTGTGTCATGCTGACAAAGGGTGTGGTGGGGAAGGGCGCTGCAGACAAAGGTATTGGTTTGTACAGAAGTGAGTAGAAACAAAGGTTTGTAATTCGATGTTGCTACAACCTAGTTCAAAGCAGGAGGGCAGGGAATTCCCTGGAGGGCCAATGTTAGAAATTCACACTTTCACTGCCAAAGGCCCAGGTTCAACACCTGGTTGGGGAACTAAGATCTGGAAAGCCATGTGGTACCACCAAAAACAAACAAAAAAATAAAGCAGGAGAATATACCAGAAGAAGTGATGGGAAAAAAGAGAGCAGAGGGTGGGCTATAAAGGCAGGTTCTGAAAGTAAAGCCTGGCTTCCAGAGGAGTAACTCGGACGGACTGCAGCCTGCCAGTCCAAGGGGTTTCAGGCAAGAATACTACAGGGAGTTGCCATTGCCTAACCCAAGGGGATCTTCCTGACCCAGGGATCAAACCTGCCATCTCTTACATCTCCTGCACTGCAGGCAGACTCTTTACCACTGCGCCACCTGAGAAGCCTTAAGCAAGGGACTGATGGCTTATTTTTAACATTTTAAATAGGAAAAAATGGGGAAGACTGATGCCAGGGAAGTTTTCACACTACACACTGTCATTATAGATCACTATATTATAAAACATAAACTTTAAAATGTTCCTACTTCATCAATAGTTGTTTATTGCAGTTACATGGAAAAATTTCATAACTTACCTAAAATATTATATATTGACCTTAACTTATCTTTGTTTCCTGAAGACACTAAATACAATGGTCATGTATTGCAGCTATCATTATCTGCATCATTATTCCCCCAATAACTTTCATAGAGCCATTCAGCAAACCATTAAAGAGCACAGTGGCGCACTGTCACTAGTAATATTATGGGCAATTTTGTCAGTACTTGTCATTGATGGACCTAAAGTACCAGCTACAATAAAATCTAAATTTAGCTCCTTGATCCACATAAATTCACAGAGGTCTTATTTTGTATAAGATAAAATCTAACACAAAACTTTGTATTGATTCTTTGAATCAAAGATATTAATCTTTACTTTTATGCTGATTATTCCTTTAACATTAGATAAAAGACATTTTATTCTTTATGAGATACTGTAATAAAATATGCAGATGTAAACATAGTATGAGGTCACAGCTGTCTACGTGATGGTAAAAAGCATATGAAAGTAGAGTTTTGCTGTATTAAGAAATACTTTTTCCCTTTTTTTAACTGAAATATAGATGACACACAATACTGTATCAATTTCAGGTGTATGACATATTGATTTGACATTCATATACATTATGGACTGAAGATTAAGAAGTATTTTTGAGGTTACAGGGATAACTACACTTAGTATTTTTAATTTCACAAAACCATATTTCTATTTTAAGGGTAAGTAAGCAAACTATTTGATTATGATGAATACACAAGAACAATTGTATTATGAAACACTTCTGATACTAAAAATATTTAAGTGATTAATGACTTCAAGCCAATCCCAAAGAGAACTCAACCGGTTTTCACTGTAAAAGGCATTAACTCTTTTTACTCACCTCTTCTTCGCTGCTGTTGTCCTCCTTTTCTTTTTCATCATCTTCCTCCTCCTCTTCTTCCTCTGCTTCGCTGCTAGAACTATCTTCTTTCAATTCAGTCTTCCAGTTAGCAGGAATAGTTCTACTTTTGTGAAATTCAAGTGCCTGATCAAAGGCTGGAAAGAGGTCATAAACTATCAACTGGAGAAATTAAGAACTGATTTGTCTAAAAATATTAACAGGATAAAGAAATAAAAACTACTGTGCTGCCACCACTGACATTTATGAAGCGGCTGCTATGGGCTAGGCATTGAGCTAACTGCTTTTCGGTGTAGCAACCCATTAATCTTACAGTCTTAGGCATTAGGTATCTATTTTATAGATGGCAAAACTCAGGTGACTTAGGTTCAAACCAAGACAAGAAAAGGGGCAGATATATTCTTTTAAACAAAAATTAAGAATGAATAGTAAACATTAAACATTGAAGTAAATCTAGTAAACATTAAACCTTCATAATCATTTTATCAAAAAATTATTAAACAGTATTATGTAACAGGCACAGAGCCACTGCAGTAACTTACAAGTATCTGAAAATATACTATAAATACGTACTCTACATTTTCAGTTAACTCTGAATTAAAATATATTAATTATTAATTTAACTATAAATACCTAGACACAGTTATTCTCACTTTACAATACAGAGAAATAAATTCTCAACCATAAATCTTGATGATATAGCGTATTATCTAATTTGGTAAACATGGGCAAAGAAAAAATAGTTATTTACAGTGCCAAAAATCAAGTAAGAGATTTAATTACAGCATATTCCCCAATAAAATATAACTACTGTTACAAGAAATGACAAAAATCAAGACTACTTTGATTCATGTTTTTACCATCCTCAGGAACTGATATTTTATCTACTAGGCCAGACTACAGTGATAGCTGATGATCTTGTTCTTGATCTTTTTTAGATTACTGCCCCAATTATAAGCTAAAAAAAAAAGAGAATACTATGATAACAAAAGACACATTGGTTACAAAAGCAGAAGTCGCATGGGACCAAAGGTAACTTCAAAAACTTCATTAAAAAAAAATTTTTTTTAAGACCAAAAGAATATCTTCAGAAATACTTCATTGGTTTCTCTTTTCTCTCTGTTTGGCCACACTGTGTGACCTATGAGATCTTAGTTCCCTGACCAGAACTCCAGCAGTGAAAGCTCCAGCAGTGAAAGTGCAGAGTCCACCAATGGACCACCAGGACATACCTCATCAGTTTTTAAATTAAGTATAAATTTAAATTAAGTATAAATCCAAAATTATCCTTACCTTGTTTTAATACAGCGTCAGGCTTTGGTACAGTGTCACTAGTAATTTCATGGACATCCTTTCTTGGTACTGAAGTACTGTATTATTTTTAATTTTAAAGGAAAAAACCCACAAAAATACAACAAAGATTAATTAAGAGTCCAATTACCTACCACGGAAAGATACTGAAAACATGGGAACACTGATGGAAATGACTGCACACAGGGTTGCAAATCTCAAACAAAATACTAGGCAGGACATTAAAAACGGAATCATCTACAAGAGGACCCCACCTTAATAAGATGTTTTATAAGAATTCTCGGAGTAACTGGTTAAATGCAATACTAAAAATATTGAAACCCTGAAAATAATCTATTAAAATGTTTACATAGCAGAATGTATCAATCCAATAAAAAAATAAGTAAAACAGCAAGAATTTGCCATCATCTTAAGATAATCTCAAGAAATAAATAAATTTAAGATTGCAAGAAAATGTACTATTTTATAATGTAAAATGTTCAACAATTTTCTTTAAACTGAATTCTAGGTTCAAAGCAAACTTCTAATATACAATTGAAGTTCTTTCATGTATAAACTATAAAAAGGGTTTGGATGCAAGCAACTGGGAGAGGTCATTTTATCATATACGTCACATTTATTTCTTACTTAACATGAATAAATCATCATTATTTATCATCTTATTAAAGCTTTTCTGCACTTGGTTTGTTTCAACCACTCCACAGAAGTCTAAGAACTATTCCAAATATACTTTTCAGCCTGCCTCTTTTTAAATTTTAAATTTAAAAATTTCAAATATATACAGAAGTATAACTGGAAAATGAACTCCCACGAATCCATCATCCAACTACAACAATCATTAACTCAGAGTCAGTGTCTCATTTATACCCCTATCTACCTCTTCCCACACCAAGTGGATTATTTTGAAGCAAATCTCAGACATTATAGAATTTAATTTATAATATTTTATTCTTTTGAAAATACAATCCTATCATCACACATTTAAAAATTCATGGTAATTTCTTAATATCAACAAACTAGTATTCAATTTCAATGCTCAAACTTTTGTGAAAGTGAGTTTCATATAGATTTAAAATTTTTAAGTCATGTTTCAGAACTTGAAAATCCAAAAACCAATCTTAAGTATGATGATCTTTTTAAAGCACTCACCCGATAAGGCAAAATATCAACATAAAATACATGGATTTTCTAGTCACACAATTCTTTTTTTTTTTTTTTTTTTTGTTCTACCAGTTTATTGCTACCAACCCATCTCCCTCCACCCTCGTGCACACATGCTCAGTCATGTAATCCCATGGACTTCAGCCCACCAGACTCCTCTGTCCATGGATTTTTCCAGGCAAGAATACTGGAGTGGATTGCCATTTCCTTCTCCACAGTCACACAATTCTTAAAGGGAAAAAACACCCACAGAAATTGATAACTCAGTTTTAGAAAAGTTCTACATGAAAATTCATTATCTTAATATCCAACATATATTTATAGTAACTCATTTTAATCCTTAAGACTACTGCAAAATTCAAACATTACAAAACAGATATTACCACACTCATTTAGAAATAATTTAAAATATTAGAAAATCCTAATTAGATATTCAAAACAATAAATAAATATTAATTAATATATCCATGAAGTATTAGATGTGGTAGATTTATTGAATTTTCCTCAATAAACCATCAGCTATTATATAGGCAAATACTGATAAATTAGCATTGAGAGTATAGCTTAGAAAAGACCAACTGAACAAGACATATTTTAAGACTACTATACTTAATGACAATATGAAAAATGATCATGCTTTGAAACACTCTGAATGATAAAAAGGAAAAGCAGAACATCACTGGAAATCACTAATTTATAATTTATCATCCTGATTTGGAAAAGCAGCCTATTTTTCATACCAAGTGAATTATACTTACAATTTGCCATCTTTGAAAGATCGAACAAGAATATTATCCTTTTTCACAGCAATTTCATCACTACAATCAGGACATACCACCTTTTTAAAAAAAAGTATGAAACTATTATAACTAAAAGCACTGTTTATAGATAGTTACATACGTATCAATTATTTAAATCTTAAAAAATAGTTTCAGCTTAAAATTTAAAAACTAACTTTAGTTTGAGGGTAAAAAAACATACACATGTATAACAAACAAGCAATTTAAAGTTTATATCCTAAAACACACACACACATATGTGGGAATGCACACAAGTAATTTTATTTTCTAAATCCTTCCAGCTCTCTGGATTATCCACGTTATTTTTTGACATCGGCATGATTTTGAGAGTACAATCATGGCTCTGACTAGATTGATGCCATGGACCCAGTCTAGGCAGAAACGGAAGACTGGATGAGAGTGGCGCAGGGCTGGAGAGAGGGGGAGCCAGTCTTAACAGAAGGCCTGCAGCAGGGCTGGGAGAACGGCAGGGACCAAAGTGGGGCATCAGAACCTTCATCAGAGCAGCCTCTATCTTAGAAAAGGCAGAGGCGATGTGCTGCTTATTATTTACATCTAAACATGTATGTTAATAATACTAAAATTCCTCCATACTACTACCCATTCTGAAAATAAATTATTCTAAAGTGAGTACCTTCCTGGAATCTACATAACATTTACTACTACCAAAATAAAAGATTTTATTTGAAGTCACTCCAACTATTACTGAAAGTAAGGCTAAGGCATGCCTTCTCAAAGATAATATTAATTCAAGACACCTATAAATTTTTGTTATTTTAATTCCAAGACAGTTCACTATATATACCAAGAACAACATCCTAGTTTGGTTTTCTTATGAAAAAAAAAAAAAGGGCTAAATAAGTATGACGGATTTAAGGACTGTCTCATTAGCTCTGAAAAATGCCAGAATGGTACTTAAATGCATGTATTCTCACTACAGGTTTGAGAGGAGCCAGAAATATGTAAGTTCTAATTCAGTCTTTAATTCACTTTTTTTCTAATTTATTTTTTAATGTTTTGGCTGCATCGTGTGTTACGCAGGATCTCAGTTTCTCAACCAATGACTGAACATTCCTCCCGCAGTGGAAGCACTGGTCCTAACCACTGGAGAGCATAGGGAATTCACCTAATTCAGTCTCTAAAAGGTTAACAATTTCCATAATTGTAATTGCACTGCATTAAGCATTGCTTAAATGTTGATGGCATTATGAAATAGTTCACTAAGAAAAGGCTTTTACGTGTATTAGCATCTAGGAAAACTTTCCTATCATTTCAAAAGGGTCCTGAAGTAAACACTTAATCTGTCCATTCATTCATCCAGTCACTCTAGAAATACAAACCATTTCATCAAGGTGCTGTGTACTAGAGCACAGAGGCCGAGACAGCCACTGTTCCCCCCACGGTGAGCCTGTACTCTAACTGGGAAGACAAGCGCTAACCAAGTACGTGCACCTGTATTTAACTGCTACTATCTAGCGGTCAGAAGCCACTTCTTTGAGGACACAACATTTACACTAAGCTTTGAAAACTGAGCAGTAGCTGATTTGACAAAGGATGGATGCATATACACGTCTGTAGGCCAGGCTGCACTGCAAGAAGAGGAAACAGATTACGGGAAGGGCCTGACACAGCAAGCAGTGCAACCCTTTCTAGGAAGTACAAGGTCAACGTGGCTAACTTTCTGCCTGGGCTAAATAAGAAAGATAAGCAGAGCTTAGATCTGTCCATTTTGTAAGCCATGTCAATTCTGAGGACAGAACTCTAAAGTCTCTCAGGGAAGGATCTGAAGCAAGACAATGTCATAGCAGAATCGCCTTTTTTAAAATGACTTTTGGCTGTCACAAAGAAAATGGGCCAGAGAACGGCAGGAGTTGAAAGAAATTAAGCTAGTGCAAATCATCCAGGTGAGAGATGGTGACCTGCATATAAAGTGGTGGCGATGGCAGATTAAAGGAAATGAGAAATATTAGAGAAAATTAGGGAAGTGAAGAGGTGAGAGAGAAAAGGATGCTTACATTTCTACCTTGTGAAAATGGTGTCGTTCACAGGGAAACGAAACAATGGAGAGGGGTCAAGTTTGGGAATACAGGGAGGAGAGAGTAAATTTAGGCTTACTAAGCTTGTTAAGTTTTCAGGTGACTAAAGGACAACCAAGTAGAGATACTGAATAGACAGATACTCGCGTCCAGAGCTCCAGGGTAGAGGTCTGAATGCTAAGATATAAACTTGGGAGTAAACAGCTAAATAGAGGTCTAAAACTGTGAGCCAAATCACCCATTTTTTTCTTTCTCATGAGATTGGATTTTGAAAAACAAACATGATAGACTTTACTGACACTGTGTGTAAGTAAGCGGGTCCACTCTCCATTCTGTTACAGGAACTAAAATCCATATTTTATCCCATTTACCCATGCATCTGAGTTCCTCGGTCCTTAAGACATTTCAGTTTATTATCTCTGCAACCAATGTTATTAAAGGGGATGAGATCATGCTGAAAAAATATAGAGTGATATATTCTGAACCTTAAACAACATTTAAAGCTCAGTTAGAGGAAAAATGATGATGGAAACTGAAAACAGGACTGTGTGAATCAGGGAAGCTAAAATTTCCATCCCTTAAAATGGGAGTAAATACCACTTATGTTTCAGCCTCAATTAGGATGAAATGAGACTGTGCACTTACCTTAACAAGTTAGCACAGTGCCTGGCCAGGGAAAGTACTCAAAACCTGGTAGCTATTTATTGTTCCTAAGAGTATGCAATTGTTTTCTAACATGACATTATCAGACACTTGTTAACATTACTCAATTTATAAACTACTTTCAAAAATAGAAATGCAAATATTTTATGTAATTATGTCAAGGTTGTTTGATTCAGAACAAAATTTCACACTCTAGTTGATAAAAATTATCCATTACTGTCCAAGAGATCTCAAATTTGCGTGGAGGACAACATGTATCAATAATGCTAAGATGTTAAAAATAATAATGAAATGGTTGACTAAGCAGATTACTAACCTTTTGATATCGTAAATCTTTTCCTCATCATCAGGAAACTATTTAGAAATGATGATGAGAATGTTAAATCAATATTGAAAATACTAAAGTGAAAATTTTAATGTTCCTGTTGTTTTAGAAAAAGACACACGAAGCTCTTTTAAAACATGTTTTCAAAAGTGCTCACAAAGAATCTTAGAGCTTTAGGAAATAAGAAATGACCACATACACTGACTTAAGTTTTCCACTTACCATTAACCCAAAGCTTGTAAAGTTATTTAACCCTTCTAACTCTGAGTTTTCTTATCTTTAAATGAGGATAAATAATACATACCTCATAATCCTCATAAAGATCTTAGCACAATCCTTACACACAGCAGGCATCCAATAAATGAGGAATGGATAGATGGACATATGAAGAGGTACAAAGGTATTATACAATATTTACATTTATGAAAATAATTGCCCTCATTAGTTTAAATTATAAGAGCTGACATTTATTGGGCACTTATTTTGTGCAAAACACTTTTAATACTCAGGATACAGAATACAAAACATTCAACAAAATGATGACAAATAGATGCCATTTGCAGACAGTAGTACAAAACAAGATTCCGTTCTTCTTTAGCAGTCTTCTGCATGGTAGATTTAGAAGTTTTAAGTTTGCACAAGGAATTTTTTATCCAAAATTCAGCAGTGTAATATACCAAGCCTATAAAATTACCATAATTTTGCTTTTCATGGATGAATCCGAAAGTTCTTTATACTCAGAAACAATTTTCAAAGTAATTCTGTGGGAACTGAATGATGCTAAACCCACTTCCCATTCTGTGCCTATGAAAAATACTGATTTTTAAGAAAATCAACTGCTCTCTTCATGAACTTATATAGTTGAAAATTAAACTCTTATACTGAAGTTACTCACCAATGCAGGAAACCACAGTGCTTTCTTTTTATCCAAACTAACATAATCTACACATACAACTTTTCCCAGAAGCTCATCAATCTGTTTCCTATCATCCTCATCTTCATCACTGGAGGATGAAGAAGACTCTTCCTCTGGTCTAGGGAGAGAAAAAATGAGATAATCCTATTTATCTTCACAAAGAATAAGCATGCCACGTTGATGAATACAGGTTTTCTAGAAATCCTATCCTGTTTCCTACACCCTACAAAATGGCTAAATTAACTTTTTTAATAGTTTCCTAAATTGCTAAAGAATAATTTTTTAAAAAAAGGTTATCACTAGAGGAAAAGCACAACATTTTCCTAAAAATGTCCTGAATTTATTTAGTGCTATTTTAAAAGATTACAGGGAAGATCAAAACAGAATAGTACTGGTTCCCAAATTCTCAAAACCTGAAGGCCCCCATTTTAAGTATCCGAGGACTGAACTAAAATACACTGCATTCTCCTCTCAGATTAAAGGAATTCTAGAAATGGTAATGCTCTCCCAGTTCAAAACAAATTTTAAAAGGGGGAAGGGAGATCTTTACTAACAGAGGGTCAAGGTAGAGAGAGGAGACAATCTGATAAGACATCACCATTGCCATGCTTAATATCAGATACATAAAAACTAAGTGTTCATAAGATGTACAATATGGTTCTTTTTTATTATGTGAAAAATTCCTTTCAGTTACACTGTATTCTGAGTAAATTAAAAAGAAGAAAAAGGAACTCAAAACCATCCATTTGATGTTAGAGGGAAGTATAGTAAAAAAATAAAACTTAAAAAGAGAGGGGGAAAAAAAAACACAAACACACAAAACAAATTTCTCAATCTGGTTTTAAAAAACCCACCGTCAGTAGTAAAGAAAATGGATTCTAATGGGGGGATGGGTAGGAGGCTCGGAGGGAGGGGGACATGTGTATACAAATGGCTGATTCACTGTTGTACAGCAGAAATTAACACAACATTGTAAAGCAATTATACTCCAATTAAAAGAAATTTATTCTAATTACTATGTTCAAAATGCCCAGAATAAAGATATTAAGAAATGTGGAATAAATAGACTGCAACAAAATGAGAAATAAAAACATATGGTATTTTTATAAAATAAAAAGCATGACAATATAAATGTCATCCCCTCATATTTATATGTGCTGCGGGCTTAGCCACATCCGACTCTTTGCAATCCCATGGACTCTAGCCCTCCACGCTCCTCTGTCCATGAGGTTTTCCCTGCAAGAATACTGGAGTGGGTTGCCATTTCCTTTTTCATTATATCTATACATTCCAACATAAATGTAAAGGAAGCAAAACCTATTATAACACTGTTAAAAATTTTATAGCGATATCGGGAATATCATGATTTGACTCCAGTGATCATTCAATTAACCTAAAAATTGTCCCCCGATAAAAAACAAAGCACATCTTCAAAGTTTGCTACTGAGAATACTGTACTTCAAATGGCACTTAAAGCAGTTCAACCCCTACTTAGAAAGCAGATAATAGGCAGCAGGAAAAACCAACATATTTTCATATTAGTGGAGCGTAAAACCTTACAAATAGGCACACAGCTTGGAAGAGTAATAACAGACCTTCACAAGTCTGATTTCTACCTGATTAGAAGAACTTCTCAAAGACAAGGACTTTTATTTCTCCACTTTCTAATGATTATAGAACACAACCAAATTTAAAATTATAATTACTGCTTTTTTCAAAATAGTCACAGAGGACATATTCAGCTATGGATGCCCTCTATGCCATTATCATTAGCAAGACAAAATCACAATGTCACAAATAACAGTAATCAAATCTGTAAAACACAGAAAGAGAAAAATGGGCTTTACTCAGTTAACACAACCATCTGCGGTAGTATAAAAGTTCTAATTTCCTTCATAAGACTTAACAAATATGAAGACGTCAGACATGAGAAAGTTATCTATCTACTATAAACTGACTGGCTGCATAGAACATCCATCCACTTTACTGTCTTAGGTTCCACTCCAAAAACCATTCCCCACTCATGGACTAGACACCCTTCTCCACACTCACATCCTCAAGTTTTTGTTCCAGCAATGTTCCTACCTCTCCCCTCTATCAGTTTTTCTACCTCTACTAGTTGGAGTCCTACTAGCACTGTAATTTCTAAGAAAATGCTGTCACTTCCTCCACTTAGAAAAAAAAAACACAAAAGATCCGCTGACCTCACTTTCTCCACCAGCTACTACTCTTCTTTGAAGAGAAACAGCCTGGAATGCTTTATCCCCAGACACTTAGAAACTTTTTCACCTCCTCTAAGTCTCTGTTCAAATGTCATTTCAATTACGATCACCTTATTCAAACAACCTGCCCATCCCAATCCCCCAATCTTATTTCATTATTTCCACAGCACTGACAAATCTATCATACTACGTAACTTAATTCTTCTTTTTTCTGTATTGCCTATCTCTCTCCATATGAGAGAATGTAAGCTCTAAAGGTATAGGAGGTGTTTTGGCCGCACCACATGGCATGCGGGATTTTAATTCTCTGACCAGGGATGGAATCCATGTCCAATGCATTAAAAGTGTGGAGCCTTAACCACTGGACCACAAGGCAAGTCTCCCAGAGACTTTATGAATGCCTATTTTGTTCACAGATATATCCCATGTACTTGAAGAGTGCTGGCACAACACAGATGCTCAATAAATATTTGCTAAGTAAGTAAACTAGATAGGTTTCTTTCTTTCTTTTTTTTTTTTTAGTTGTACCACTTTGTTGCTACGAACCCGTCTCCCTCCACCCTCGTGCACACATGCTCAGTCATGTAACCCCATGGACTGCAGCCCGCCAGGCTCCTCTGTCCATGGAGTTTTCTAGGCAAGAATACTGGAATGGGTTGCCATTTCCTTCTCCGGTTTATTTCTTTCTACTGTGGTATTTCTGATTTCTATTTCTCCTGAAATTACATAATGTATACAATCAACATAATGTATACAACCAGTTTAAACCATACCTTTATACCTAAGACTCCTTTAATTTTTCCTTGTAGTGGAATGTAACCAGGAAATTGTTTATATAAGATGAGTACTCAATTAACTGATACACAAAATAAATGAGCATCGGAAATATTTTAAGGGAGCAAAGATGGAATAAGCAGGAAATCTGCTTGGTGTTTACTCCCCTCTGACACTGTTGCTTCTCTGGTACCAAGTATGTGTTTACAGAGCCACAACAAAATAACTAGTGTTGCTGAATTAACATGTGACGATGCCACTGGAAACAATGCTAATTACATGGGAATGTTTACCAAACAAACGAACAGCTAGTCACTTAAAGCTGATCACACATCGATCTTAATTATAAATTAATTGTAAATCAAGTAAGAATTTGGCAACTTAGACATGTGCCAAAGAATACCATATGATGAGGTACAAACAGAAAACTGAGCCAGAAATTTCAGAGGCTCAATTTTTAAAATGCAATTTGGACTTCAGTGATCCTTACTCTTTCAAACAACTAACTCAGCTTCAAATTTTGTACTGCAAATTCAAAATCTGTATTAGTATCAAGAAGACTGAAAATGTGTAGTCTCTTAAGAGATTAAAATATACAGATCATACGAACATGTATGAACTCAACCAATGAAAGATTTTTTCCCAGTTTTTATCAAGAAGGAAACTAGAATCAAATTCTCATATCAAAATAAAGCAGTGAATAATAAAAAGAACTTTTGGACTTAGGTAGTGGTGCTGGTTGTAAACTTTTGTGAATGCACTAAAAAACACTGAAAACTGAATACTTTGAAAGGGTGAACTTTATATGTGAATTATCTCTCAATAAAAACATTATTCAAGATCGATCTGCAGACCAGTAAATATCAGGTACAAATCACTGGTTTGCTGGGTAAATCTCAGCTATGTTACTGGGTAGAAACTCCCCAGAGCTACTACTACCAAGTGTCCTCACAAGCCTTACTGTGCTCCCCTCTTCTTCTGAAGGGCAACAGCCTTGAGTGCTTCCCTACAGTGTTACAGATACACTCTGGCCACGCTACTGGAAAAAGCTTTTGAGGAGCACAAATATTTCTATAATTTCAGAATCCTATTCTTTAGGTAGAATCAAAGAAAACTGCATACAATATAAATTATAAGGGGAAAATTCACTCACATTATACATTATCAAAAGGATCAATAACTTGCTTTTAAAAAATTAAGCTAGAGGATGATAATCTTTCAAACATATCTGAATATATTAGGATTAAAAGCAGACTATAAGTAACATAATTAAAGGAAGGTATAAAAAATAATCAATTTTGGAATAACTAAAGGCCCATTAACCGGTATGCGGATTAACAGTTCTTAAAATAAAACAAAGGTAGTGATATATCACTGCAACAATGGGGTCCTGGGAGTCCTGGGAATGATAATGTTATTTATCTTTGTACAAATTTTAAATGGCAATCAGAGAACCATAATGAAGACCTTTTCAAATTGAGTAATGGAAGAGGAAATGAAGGTCAGATAAATGACCTTAAAATGCAGGCCCCAGATTTTGTTGCAGAAAGTCACTCTTAAGAAAGGGAAGAAAGACCTTTAAGGAAGTGTAATTTAAGGAGTTGGGCATTTTAACCTATGGTGCTTGCCAGTGGTGCTTAAACGCCAATGCGTAGAGCACCAAGGAGGCACTAAGAATGACCACAGTGGTGAGATGGAAGGAGCAGCAAGTGAAGTAAGACTGCAGACAGGCAGCACTTCATTTCCTGCAGCAGTAATTCTCGACCTTTGTTCTGCCTTCACACTTCTCATATTTACAGCAAATCTTTCACTGTACACAGATTCTCAACAGGAAAATCACTAACTCAATGTTTGCTAAAGTTACTTTAGAAAACAAAAATCAATTTGCTCAGTGACAAACGCATGCTTTCTTCGCATGCTTTCTTCTCATATACAAGAAAGGGAGACCTCAGCCAAAAATCATAACAGATATTTTAATATACTATAATTTTTGGTCTGTTGGGTGTGTGTGTGTGTGTACTGCACAGCTTGTGGAATCTCAAGTTTCCCAACTGGATCTGGCCCTTGGGAATTCCTTTTTGGTCCTTTTTGTACATCAATCTATGTGATAGTCCATAAATTACCTTATTTTAAAATATTTTTACACTTCTGGATGACATCCATAGAAAGGTAAAATACTGTCTAAATATTATATGAAATTTGTTTCAAAATTAAAAGGATTCTTGATTCAAAAACATTATTCCCTAGAGTATGTACATAATATAAAACAAAGGAATGATGTTTTTAAATTCACAAAATAGAGCCCCAAACAGTCCTTCCTGTCAGACATAAACACTAGTAAGAATTTTTACATACTTAAAAATAAATTTTATATGTAAATGAAGTCATGTTACATACTGATATTTCATGAAAGTTTTTTCATTCAATACATGATGATGACATCTAGTACATATATGTGTGTGTGTTAGTCACTTAGTTGTGTCCGACTCTTTACGACTCCATGGACTGTCACCGGCCAGGCTCCTCTCATGGGATTCTCCAGGCAAGAATAGTGGGGTGGGTTGCCATTTCCTCCTCCAGGGGATCTTCCCGACCCAGGGATCAAACCTGGGTCTCCTGTGTTGCAGGCAGACTCTTTACCATCTGAGCTACAGGGCAGTCTTAGGGACGCCTATGTGATTACAGTAATTACTATATCAACCTTTTAAGGATGTGAATTCACTTCACCTTTGAAACAACTCGGTGGGCTTCCCCGGTGTCTCAGATAGTAAAGAGTCCGCCTGTGGTGTGCGAGACCTGGGTTCCATCCCTGGGTTGGGAAGATCCCCTGGGAAAGGAAATGGCAACCCACTCCAGTATTCCTGCCTGGAAAATCTCATGGACGGAGGAGCCTGGCAGGCTATAGTCATGGGGTCGCAACGAGTTGGACATGACTAACTTCACTTTCTTTCTTTGAAACTAAACTCGTAAAGAGACAGGGAATACTATTACCTCAATTTTACAGATGAGAAAATTAAGGTATGCAAAGACTGAGCATGCTGCCCAAAGTCAGACAGCAAGGAAGTGGCAGAAGCAGGATTCAAACCCATGCTATTGTGCTTCACTGTTCCCACTTAAGATCTCTCTTTTTTTTTTTTTTTTTTTTTTTTGCCACACCTCGAGACATGCTGGATCTTAGTCCCCTGACCAGGCATTGAACCCTTGCCCCCTTCAATGGAAGTACGGAGTCTTAACCACTGGACCACCAATAAAGTTTCCACTGTTCACACTCTCAACTCAGCCACACTTCCACTCTTAAGAGCTAGAAAAGTGGAAAATCTTTGCTAATAAAGTAATTTTACATTAAATATATCCACACCTCACTACTTCAACATCATCAATCACAGTTAATTAAGAGTTGACTATAAAGCATGGGAAGACTATAATGATCAATGATAGATAAAATTTTAATTGACAATTGAAATTATTAATTTTCAAATGGATATCAAAATATTTAACTTATAAGTGCTTCAGTGAATATGTTAGGGCAAATAATAGCCCTCTGAAAAACCTGAAAAACAGTATCAGATCACAGTAACATTTATTAATCACAACAGGACTCTTCTCAGCTGATAATGTCATTGTACATTTTTTACTTATTTTTCTCTCTAGGCAGAATACTCATATTTTAAATGTTACACAAAGAGTAAATAATAATCACAAACTCAGTATCCTAAAAATAATCAAGTCACCAGCAAGCTACATCACAAGTAAGAGAAATTTTCACCTATTAATTGAGAAAACATTTTCTAAAAGATTCAAAGATCTAAGGAAGAAAACGAAATGCATGGCCCAAATCATTAGTAGCAAAATAATCAATACTAAGTATCTTTTCAATGCAAGGATTTGTCTTTTCATTTCCTCCCTCAAATGAGTCCTTATTCATTTCCTGTTAAAATTCATTTGGAAAGTTAACTGTGATACTCTAAACAAGAGAGTCAATCAACTGAATGGGAAAAGGACTATGCAACATGGTCCTTTCCTTCCTGTGTTTCTTGGATTAGTTACTGTCTCAGAGGCCAATTTTCCCAGTTTTTAATAGGGATAAAAATAATACCTACCTTTATGAGTTTGCTGTCAGGCTGAAACTAAGCTTTATGAGAGAGCATGTTTACCCAATTTTTATTGCCAAAGCTTAGCCACTATTAGACTTAATACCTGACTCTATATTTTGAATGAAAGCATTCATTTCCATTTAAAAGACAATAATTCAACTCAGTATTTTTCATACCTACTCTGATAACACTTAGCTCAGGCACATTAATATTTTAAAAATTTTATCCAAGTAAAATATTCAAAACTGTTTTTAAACAATTTAACCTCCAACAGAATAAATTAAAAACTTTTTCCTGCTGCATCCTTTCCCATTTTCTTCTGCCGAGACAACTGCTTTTAATTTTAACTCTTTCAGCTCTGACAGTTAAAACCTCATCACTAAGTAATATTCTTATACCACTATATTTATACTTTTAAGACACTATTCTATTTTCCATTGTTGTAAGGACTTGACTTTTGTATTTAAGCGACTTCTCTATCCTCCATCCTACTAATGCAGTGTTTCTTCCTAATATAATTTTTGAGAGGAGTAACTAAATGCCTTTGTTATTTTTTCCCATCTGTTACCATTGTTATCTTTAATTTACCCCTAATGTTCCATCATAGGAGAAAGCAAGTCCTCCCTTTAACAGCACTTTTCCTTTCTCCACTCTGCAGTCTACTGACCACTAGCATCTAATGTTACTACTTAGAAGTCTGATGCCTGCCATTCTGCCTCTCAGTCCTTAGCAATAAACTACTTTTTCTTTCTGGAATTGTTAGAAGGTTGTTTCTTTATCTCTGATGACCTGAAGTTTCATGACTCCTTGATCCTGTGATCCCTTTTAATTTAAAGCCTTTAAGAACCTAAGCATATTTCATTGAAAGTAATTTGTTAAATGTGTACAGTATGTGTCACAACAGTAAGAAGACATTAAAAACAAGTAAGATAGTTCTGCTGTCAGGAGGATTTAAATTATTAGGAAGGAAAAGCAAACATGACAATGATAGTAACAGGTGAAATATTGTCTATGACATTAGATAAATGCAAAGAATTTAGAGGATTCAGCAGAGAAGAAAACATGTCTGTCAACCCACGGATGGAACCCAGGCCTCCCGCACTGAAGGTGAACTCTTACCAGCTGGCCACCAGCGAAGCCCAAGGAAAGAGAGGGGAGGCATAGAATGGTTCACAGAAAGGTTGGGCATGTCTGGCTGAGAACTGAGGAATGAAAGCGCCAGTGGCATTTAAGACAGGGAAAACACAGCATGAATAAAAAACATGGTATCAGGAAAACAGGATGTATTACTCAGGATACGCAGGAAATATTGACTAAATCCATTTTGACTCTGGCATAAGATACATGTCAGGAGAACTAGAAGGCAGATAAATAATATATACGTTAAGGCTGGCTGAGCAAGGAGATCCTCAAGCACCCATGCCAAGGAGAGTCTGAAGTTACTCTTAAGATTCAGTTAGCATTTAAATTTAAAATTACAGTTTAAAATTAACAACTATAAAACAACACTAGAAGGAGAAATGAATTCAGGTTCAACTAACAGTTATGAAAATGGACTTACATATGATTAGATCTTCTTCCTCTATTTGTTTTCTTTCCTATGACGGGAGTGCCAAAATGTTCAGGGTTGGTGAGTGGGAGCTGGTCTAATGTCTGTGGGTAGGAACATAAACCCATCAAAAGTTATTAAGTTGCAAGTTCTTTTTTTTTTACTGTTTAAATCAAATCAATTTAAGAATATCCTTAGATTTTTAGATTTAAAACTTCCCAAGGGAGACAAAAATACAACTTTCCTAAAGATTAAAAACTTTCACTTCAAAGAATTATTAAAAGATGAATGAGCTCATAACTGGAAAAAAGTGAAAAGAAATTTAGTGTTCTCTCGAGATAATTTCATTATCTACTTGAGGGTTGACAGACTTCTGAGAGTGATTAAAATATAAAACAAAACAAATACAGCTCAGTGGAAACACAGATTTGAGAGATGAGAAATCTATGTGTAAGTACCTAATCCCTAGATTGAGGCCAACTGTATCTCAAATTTTTCTTTGCATTTAGGGAATCATAATCTACAAAACAGAATTCTTAGTAAGTAATGGAAACTAAATTATCAGGATAAGCATCAATTACCTGAAAAAAGGGCTTCAGATAGGTGACATTATGACTCTGCAAACATTTTCTGTAAAAACCCCCCACCTACACCCCGACCCCCGTGCACTTGGCAGGATCTTATTTCCCCAATCAGGGATCAAACCCAGGCCCTGGCAGTGAAAGCACAAAGTCCTGGTCACTGGGACTCCCTGCAGGGAATTCCCTGCAATAAATCCTACTTTTAAAGAAAATGTAAACATTAGTTTTTCTAAAGTTAGTATTTTTATTTTCCCTTTCTTTTTAATATAGCAACCTTCAATTCTTGCTATGAAGACAATAATCAATAAGTGAACACTTCCTTCTTGTTATCAACTGGCAATTCAGGTCTCTCACCCTGCTCAAAAAAAAAAAAATTTTTTTCCAGGGAAGGAACTGGTTGTTGGTTAAAAGCACAGTGAAAAAAGGGATTTTGAAATTCCTTTCCCCATATCAGAGACTTCTTGGGTTGTTTTGTGCCATTAATTCCTTAAAAGGTTTATATATCTAAAAAGTTAAAGTATCAATCTGAAGATGCTATCCCAACTGACTTAATTCTCTGAATATCATTTTGATAATAATCAAACTTTTTCAGCATCTTAAAGATTTTCCACAGTTACTGTTCCTTTTATCCCTCCAATAGAATCTTTGCTATTTCAGATACTTTTATGAACACAAGGGGAATAAAAGATCCCAGGAAAACTGTCACAGTGGAAGTGAGGGCAAGGAACTAGTTATGATAAAAAGTCTCAAAGTTACAAATAAGAATGTTAAATGGAAGGGTGTCCATTACCTTAAAGATCAGATATTTAAATATAAACTAATGTCAATATTTAAAAGAAAAATTTGAACTTTTATTCTTAAAACTGAGATAATTTTGTTGAAACAGTGAACTAAAACATGAAAGGAGGACATATATTAATTCATTTTACATAGTTTGTTAGAATATATGTAAATATGTTTAAGGTACACACACCAACATAACACACACACACACACACACACGTGGTTAATTGCTCAGTTGTGTCCGACTCTTTGTGATCCTGTGGACTATAGCCTGTCAGGCTCCTCTGTCCATGGAATTCTCCAAGCAATAATATTGGAGTGGGTTGCCATTTCCTCCTCCAGGGATACACACACACACACACACACACACACACACACACACACACACACATACACACACACACACACACGTCCAACAATGAAGAATACAGTATAGGAAAAAGGCACTAGCCACAAAGCATTAAATAAAAACTGATTCCTTGAAATGATAGACAAAAATCGTCACTTTTATATGGCTAAAAATATAAATCTTTCATATGTAGCTTGTAAGTCAGGCATTTAAAAAAATATTTGAAGACAAAAACTTTCCCAAATACAATAATATGCCAGACAAAATCTCTTCAGAAGTAACCTGTCATTAACTCTTAATTATGCTTCCCAAGTGTGAAAATTTCAAAGCACTCTATTTGGTAAATAGGGAAAATAAATTATTTTGGCTCAGTTTCTCCTAAGCTAACAAAAGAATTAAATGCCCTTCCCCTAAGATTAAGGCCACTCTCTTAAAAGTAGACAAAGATCCCCTGGAGAAGGTAAAGGCTACCCACTCCAGTATTCTGGCCCGAAGAATTCCACAAACTGTGGAATATATGTAACTGTGGAATATAGTCCACGGGGTTGCAAAAAGTTGGAAACCACTAAGCAACTTTAACTATCGGTTTTCTATTTTATTTCTATTTTAAGTATCGGCTAGTTATTTTACTTGGTTTAAGAAAGAAAATATCCAGAATTTCTGAAAAGTTATCTAGGAATCACATATAGGAATACGCAAATAAACCACAATCTCTCCCTAGTATTTAAAAAAGAATTAGAACAATAAGAAGCAATTGTCTTATTGTTAAAAGCAGACCTGTGTCCCTGGCCTCAATCCTGGAAAGCAGGAGCCCTTTTATCTCACTTCACACAAAAGAATAAAGGACGGTCAGAATTAAGAGGGCTTCCCTGGTAGCTCAGTAGTAAAGAATCTGCCTGCCTGTGTAGGAGATGCGGGTTTGATCCCAGGTCAGGAACTGGAGACAGAAATGGCTACCCACTCCAGTATTCTTGCTGGAAAATTCCATAGACAGAGGAGCCTGGCAGGCTACAGTCCATGGGGTAGCAAAGAGTCAGACACGACTTCAGTTCAGTCATTCACTCGTGTCCGACTCTCTGCAACCCCATGGACTGCAGCAGACCAGGCTTCCCTGTCCATCACCAACTCCCTGAGCTTGCTCAAGCTCATGTCCATCAAGTCGGTGATGCCATCCAACCATCTTATCCTCTGTCGTCCCCTTCTCCTCATGCCTTCAGATATGACTTAGCAACTAAACAACTACAAGAAATACTTGAAGAGCAAAACCAGAGACTCCTGGCTATATTAAATGCTGAAGAAAATTCCACAGGCGTAGGGGAAACACGCTGATAGCCCTGTTATCTAAAATGGGCTGCAGGAAATATGGAGCTAGGATTTCATCTAAACTTTCTTCAGCGTTTTCAATTGCATGTAGTAAATGCACAAAGAGAATGCCAGTTGATAAAACTACTTTGGAATATTATTCCAATTATGAATGCTCTACAGAAATACCCACTCCAACAGATGCCAAGGATAAATTCCATGTCTACCTAACTTACCCATGTGCCTAGCATAGCACCTGCAAATGGCAATGGGTAAGGAATAATATACCAGTATTCTAATATCCTCTAGCAAAACATGAAATTTAACATGTTGAGAAACACAGAGTAAAACTGATGCCTCCTGAAATTAAGGTGGATACACTGAGCTACTAGATATCACTGCTTCAGCTTTCATAGCACAACTATCTTAAAAATTATCCCAATTTAAAATTCTCCTGGAAAAGACAAAATTAGTTCCTTAAGATACTTCACTGGAATGAGTAAATAAGACATATACCTTCACTTAGGTGAAAAATCGAGTGTTCAAGTTCTCGTAATCATTCAGTTCAGTTCAGTCGCTCAGTCGTGTCCAACTCTTTGCGACCTCATGAATCGCAGCACGTCAGGCCTCCCTGTCCGTCACCAACTCCCAGAGTTTACTCACTCATAAAAGCCTACAGTACCCGGTATTCCCATCCAAGTACTAACCAGGCCAGACCCTGCTTAGCTTCCGAGATCAGACACATTCAGGGTGGTATAGCCATAGACTATAATTATCACATATTCTAAGGAAAATGAAATTATTTCTAAGAACTCCATAAACTCAGAATTCTGTTAATGTCATCAGTCAAAGAAGCCAAATTCACTGTACTTGTCCCAAAGTTATATATATTTCCTATCTTTAAACCTTCACAATTAATTCACCAAATGGTTACTGAGGCTTTTGTGTAGAAAACACTACTAGGAAAAGAAGAATTCATCAAGACGACAAAAATTTGGCTATTCCGCCAAAACAGCTTACAATTTTAAAGAGAAAAATGATAAAAGTAACCAAAAAAAAAAACCATTAAAAAAAGTAAGAGAAGTGGAAAAGGATCAAAGCATACTGAGATCAAAATTGGTTAGACAGCTCATGAAAGACATCATGAAGGAGGAAGCATTTCTCATGGTCTTGAGAGGAACAGGGCTCAGAAGAAACCAAGAAAAGGAAGTATAAACCATAATCTGAAAGTCTTACAAATGAGAAATACAAGGCAATAATAAAGCATGAGACTGAAAAGATAGGCCAGAATTATTACACAGAGAATCTGTCCCAAATTCGGAATTGAAATGGGAAGTCAATCATTTAAGTGAAAGGAAAAATAACAACAACAAAAAAGTCTAATAATTTAACAGAAATATTAAAATTCCCCATGATAACATCATTCTAAATAGTTATTAGAGAAAATAAATCTTGGTTTGGTCACACTGTGTATTAACTAATATTTATAGTGTTATAGAATATAACACTATTTGTAACAATATGTCCATTAAAAAATTTTTGAATTGCAAGTTATTGATTTTCAAAACTTTGTGAAGCCTCCACATTTATTAAAACATCTTTCAATTTTAGAGCATGATTTTGGTACTAGGAAGTGCTGGTTTGAGAAATGGCTCTGACCATCAATTTCATCAACTGTAAGCTAAAAATAAGAACTGTATCTCTCTCATAATGCTGTACATGCGAGGATGTATGTAAAGCACTAAGCAAAGTCCCTGCAGATACAAGCACTTCAGTTATTCATCCAGCCAACATTCATTCAGCTCCTGCTCTGTGCCGGGCACTGTTGCAGGAACTGGGAACAAAACGGTGCAGAAGACACACACAGCCTCTGCCACTGAGACACACACACTGTAGTGAGGAAGGCAGACAATAAATAAGCACATAAACACAGTGGTGAGCAAGGTATGTGCTATAAAGAAAATTAAATTAACCTGAAAAGATTATGAGGAATGGAAGTGTCCGTTTTGGAAAGAGCAGTCAGGCAAGCCTTCTCCAAAGAGAGGCTATAATAAATGTCAGCTGCTGGCAGCAGCAGTAGTTAGGAGGTGTTTGCAGTAGTTAAGGTTAGTTAGGAGGTCCTTTTAACAATGATGGGGGTTCAAGTAGGTTACAAATGAGGAATCTCTATTCTATAATTATTTATAAATTAAAGGACTCTATATGAAAGTTGCCTAAGAATAATAAACAATTCCACTGTATTTTCTTCATGGACAAACGCTAATTGCTAAAATACATTTTAAAAAAAGGCATATGGAACTCAAACACAAGGCCTTAAAGTTTTCTCAGACTATATGCTAATACTTCTATGTATTAATAAATTTTCCTGATGAACAAGTTGCTTGAATAAGAAAGCAAAACTTTGCCACCCCCAATACAAAATACTCCGACATGTTTGTTCATTAAGTGATTACTTACTTCACTCTCTGCAAAATGCCTCTCTCCTTTTAGGCACAGTGAGGATCGTCTCAATGTTTTCTCATCACCATCATCAAAAACTGCGAGAAGAGGCAGAAAAGGAAACTACTGAAGGGATTTTCAAAGATTAACAAAATGACATAAGTTATCATTTAACTTTATCAGTGCAAAGAGAGCTACTGCTTTAAAAGATTAGATCTGACATTAAGTATACATTTTAAGTTTTGTAACAAACAACTTCAAATGCAGAGTATCTTATCCAATTTCTAGGGAAAAAATAATATAATGAAAACATCTTCCCTGGTACAGAAAACACCAAATGAAAAGAAGTTAGCATTTCAGAAAGAAACCTTTTAAATGCTGATCAATCCTTCTCAATAGGGTAGAGAAAAAGCAAGCTTTTCTATTGGTAGATGATGACAAATTTAAGAAACAAAAAAGAATATAAATTTATATATTCAGACTGCCCCTATAAATTACTCTAATCTCAATCTCAGCACTATTAACATTTTGGACCAGATGAAGCAGGAAAGCCTTCTTAAACAAGATTCAAACTAAAATTACAAAGGAAAAGGCAACCACAGGAGAACTCATATGAAAACTGACAGCAGAGGTAAGAGTAAAGCAATAGAAGAGTACTTGCAACTGAAGAGGAAAAGGTTTAACAATCCCTTTTTTTATTTAAATATATAAACTCATATCCTAAAAATAAGATGATAACATTTCCAAGAGGAAAAGATAGGATTGGGAAGACACTATATGTTGGCAATTGAAGAGAGAAAATATAACAGAAATAATGTTCCTTTCAATAAATATATGAAAATATGTCCAATCTCACTACTAATCATGGGAGAAGCGAATTAAAACAAAATTGAGATACTATTTTGCGTCCAGATGGGCACAAATTTAAAAATGCTAGTAACATCAAATTTGACAAGGGTTGGGAAAACAAGTACATTCATACACTACTGTTTATGGGAGTGTAAATTAACATTCTTTTAGGAAAGTGGTTTTCATAACCTACTAAAGTTTTAAAAGGACATTTCCCTTCAATCTACGCCTAGTTCTCAATGAGCACACTAGCGAAATACTACAATCATGTCCATATACATAAAACATTCAATCCATAATATAGTAATTTACTATGTAACACCAAGAAAACTGGCAACATCATCAGCAAGAATATTAGTTTAAAAAATTTATCTGTTGCATGACAACATGAATTTACTGAATGCTACTGAAATGCACACTTAAAAATGGTTAAGATGAAAGAAAATACTCTAAAATACACTTTGAAGTGAAAAGCTAGAAATCCATTGTATAATATATACACTAAGTTCAAATTATACATTATGTACATATTTATGAAATAAAGTTTTTAAAGATCTGGAAAGATAAAAACTATTAATAGTAGTAACAACTATGGCAACTAAGAGAGGAAGTAAATCAAGAAAAAACTCTGCCTTATTTGTATCATCATTGAAAATACATTTTAAGAAGAATATGTATTCCCTTACCTACAGTGTACCAGCTAGCATCTGTTAACTTATTGATTACAGCTTCCTGATATGCACCATCAAGATTCTTCACTTCCACAATAGCCCCAACCTAAAGTATTAAAAAAAAAAAAGAAAAACTTTTAGAAGAGAAATGAACGAACTAAAACCTGGCTGTTTTTTGACAAATTGATTTCATGATGGTGAAGAATAAAGTAACTACTGCTTTGTCTTAAAGGGCCAGCAACTTTACTCACGACTGCTTCTGTATTAGCAGTGAGAATATCAACATAATGAACAAAGCAAGTAATATCTAAGTACTGTTACGAAAATATATAGTTTTGTCCTTACAACCTCTCTGAGGGAGCTCTCATGGGTCTGGGGATCCCTGTCTGTGAAATTGCATATCTTTACCTCATATTACAACTCTTCTTTAAAGGATGCTGGGGAGAAATTAACAAATAATTCTGAGGTTCTCCTTAAGTTATAATGTGCCAATAATGAAAATCATTTGAAATATTTTCATCTGATCAAGAAAATGCTGATAGTTTATATGGTTTATAAATGTATATGGTCTTTATAAGTGTGTGTCTGTGTGTGTGTGTGTATACACACATCATACTAAAACACTTCTACACAGCAAAAGAAATTGTCAACAATTTGAAAAGGCAACCTACAGAATGGGAGAAAATACATTTGCAAATCACATTAGCTGATAAGGGGTTAAAAACCAAAATACATAAAGAATTCATACAATGCAACAGAAAAAGAGAAGAATCATCAAACAATCCAATTGAAAAATCAGCAAAGGTTCTCATTCCATACACAAAAATAAAGTCAAAATGGATTAAAGTCTTGCATGTAAAACTGGAAACCATAAAACTGCTAGAAGAAAACATAAGCAGAACACTCTTGGACATATATTGTAGCAGTATTTTTTTTATATCTGTCTTCTAAGGCAAAGGAAACAAAAGCAAAAATAAATAAATGGGACCTAATTAAACTTAAATCTTTTGCACAGTAAAGGAAATCATTGACAAAACAAAAATAGAATCTACTGAATGGGAGAAACTATGTGCAAATGATGCAAATGACAAGGGGCTAAAATCTAAAATATATAAACAGCTCACAAAATTAATATCAAAAAAAGCAAAAAGCTCCATTTATAAAACGAGCAGAAGACCTGAATAGACATGTTTCCAAAGAAGACATACAGACAGCAAACAGGTACATGGAAATATGCTCACTATCACTAATCAACAGAGAAATGCAAATCAAACCCACAATTAGGTATCTCCTGACACCTACTGAGAATGGCTTATTATCATCAAAAGACAAGAAATAAAAGTGCTGACCAGGATGTGGAGAAGGAAACCTCTGTGCACTATTGGTAGGAACGTAAACTGGTACAGCACTATGGAAAACAGAATGGAGGGATTCAAAAAGATTAAACAGAGAACTATCACATGACCCAGTAATTTCACTTGTGGACATTTATCTGAAGGAAATGAAAACACTAATTTGAAAGGATATACGCACCCCCAAGTTCACTGAAGCATTATTTACAATGGCAAAGATATGAAAAGAAACTAAGTATCCATCAATGGATGATAGATAAAGATGTGTGCATGTGCGCACACACGCTCACATAAATCAGCCATTAAAAAGAATGAAAACAGGGAGGTGGGAGGGGGGATCGGGATGGGGAACACATGTAAATCCATGGCTGATTCATGTCAATGTATGACAAAAGCCACTACAATATTGTAAAGTAATTAGCCTCCAACTAATAAAAATAAATGGAAAAATAAAAAATAAAATAAATAAATAAATAAAATAAACTACCAAAAAAAAAAAATTTGAAATCTTGTCATCTGCAACAACATGGGCAGACATTGAGGGCATTATGCCACGTGAAATTAGTCATATAGAAAAAGCCAATAACCATATGATATCACTTATACGTGAAGTCTAAAACACAAAACAGAAAGCCAACTTTATAAGATACACAGAATAAGATCGAAAATAGAGGCTAAATCTTAAAAGCCCTCACTGCAAGAAAAAAAATTTTTTACAACCGTGTGTGCTAAGTTGCTTCAGTAGTGTCCAACTCTTTGTGACCCTATGGACTGTAGACCTCCAGGCTCCTCTGTCCATGGCATTCTCTAGGCAAGAATACTAGAGTGGGTTGCCATGCCCTCCTCCAGGGAATCTTCCCAACCCAGGGATCGAACCCATGTCTCTTTCATTTCCTGCATTGGCAGGCAGGTTCTTTACCACTCGTGCCACCTGGGAAGCCCGTTTACAACCATGTATGGTGACAAATGTTAACTCGACTTATGTGGTGATCCACAAATATTGAACCATTATGCTGCATACTGAAACTAGTAATAATATTAGTTTTATCTCAGTTAAAAGAAAATGTCTATGATCTTTACAGTGATAACAAAACTAAATTTGTTTAGAGTGTCAGCCCCACACAATGCCCAAAAAAGGGAAGGAAACGCTCTCTCTCTCTCTCTTCTAGTTCCCAAACCAGAGATGAAGCGCAAGCCCCCTGCAGTACAAGTGCACAGTCCCAACCACTGAACCACCAGAGACTACCGTCAATAAATACATGGTGCATTTTTTAAAACAGAATACTCAAATGTTCCAGTATTATTTTCATGTCAACTCACTGAAAATATACTGAAATCAAATAACCACCACTATAGGAAGTTTATTTTCTCTAGGAGAAACATTTATCCAAATGCTAATCCTCTCTATCAGCTGATAGAAAGCTACAAAGTATATTAGGAAACAACTGAAAATCTTCATACAAAAAAAAAATCCATAAGCAAGAGAAATATTTCAACAATTTCGAGACTGTAATTTAATACACTTGCCTATATCAAAATCAAAATGATCCCAAGCCTCATCAAAAACAAAGAAATTTTAAGAAGACAAATCAAACAAGCAAAATAAATCAACTATGCCACAATCAAACAGGCTGAACCAAAAGGAGAGATGACTTGAGGATTCAAATTGTCTCTCTTATCCCCACAACACTGAGCGTTTTTTGTAACTGGGACCAGCTAGCATGTGCCAGGTGAATAAGTTAGTCAGGTAGTGAAGAGCTAACTGGTGTGCTCATAAGGCAAAAATACAAATAAGGCATAGAGATGCGTGTGTTCTGATCATCCAGTGGGCAGAATGCTTCAAAACTACAGGCTATAAGTCCATGAGAATTTTTATTTTTGCCATCTCATTACTGGCTGTAAGACCTTGGGCCAGATTACGTTACCTCCCATCTCCCTCCAACTTCCTCATCTCTAAGAGTTGTTATGAGGACTATATAAGATAATATGAGCAGAGGAATCAGCACAGTACTGACACATACTAAATGTAAATGAATGGCAGTTAACATCAAACTGTGTGTGTGTCAGTCCCTCAGTCATGTCTGACTCTTTGTGACCCCACGGACTGTAGCCCACCAGGCTCCTCTGTCCATGGAATTCTCCAGGCAAGAATACTGGTGTGGGTTGCAATTTCCTTCTCCAGGGGATCTTTCTAACCCAGGGATCGAACCGAGTCTCCGGACTGCACAGAGATTCTTTACCATCTAAGCCACCAGGGAAACCCAACATCAAATTATACATGTGCATGTCTTTGTCCTTTTATCCCTACAAGTGATACACATGTGCATATAACATTAAAGAGGGCACCTATAAAACAGAAAAAGTGGAAAATAATTTTCACAAGGCAATATTAAAAAACTTACAAGTTTTAGTCTTCCATGTGCAGATATGCTCAGTCATGTCTGACTTTGTGACCCCATGGACTGTAATCCACCAGGCTCCTCTGTCCATGGAATTTTCCAGGCAAGAATACTGGAGTGGGTTGCCATTTCCTACTCCAGGGGATCTTCCCAACGCATGGATCAAACCCACATCTCTTGCATTGGCAGGCGGGTTCTTTACCACTGGTGCTGTTTGGGAAGCCCTTAGTCTTCCACAGTGCCTACTATATATGCAAGGTACTAATGCCCTGGGGATTCAATTAAAAGTTTTCACATCAACCACCAACAAAAATTGGCAGATATAGACATCTAGCAAATTCTCTGAAAAGTACTGTTTCATTAGGAAAGGATTTTTCTTGCATCTACAAATGTTTTTTCAATTATGTTAGCATTTCTTAAAATTTGCCCAGCTAGGCCAATGTCCATTTCAGACATTCAAAACGGCCAAACAGCACACAGTGGCTACCCACATATTTCCCTTTAAGCCTGCTCACTAGTGGAAAGTAAAGCAGCACTTAATTCATAGCTGGCCAATGAAGAAAAACTAATGCAAAGAAATTAAACTCTCTATGTGTATGTATGAACATGTTTATCACTTATAACTGCCTAATGATCCTTAAAAAATTTCATAGGCCAGTAGTTGCTTCAAAGAATTGAAAGCTCTGAAGATTTGTTTTATTATGTTTTGTTTTCTCACTTTTCACATCATCATGGAACTCATATCACTCAATCCCTAGTTTACCACTTTCTATTTCTGGAAGCTCCACCCTTTTAATAAGTGAAACATGGTGAGACTAAAACAGATGAGTGAATAAAAAGCAATCAATCTTTCCTTGATGTTCATTTCACCTCTGAACACAAGTTTTACTCTCACAAAGGTTTTATGGCACATTAAGTCTACTTTTTTCCTACTTAGAGAGAATTACATATTTATCAACTGAATAGCAAAGTAACCAATGAATTTTTTAAAAGATCAAGATTATTACTTCTAGTGCTTCAGTGGGAAACAGTAATTATGAATAAATTATGAATAAATGACTTACCTTTAGTGGGCCCTTTATGTGGTCATCCTGAACTTCCACTGTTGAAGAATCATGTCTAAATGTTACCTAGAGATTAAAAATTTAATTAGCCACCAAAAAAGAAAAAAAAGCAGCAAAAGCTCATTAATGCATGAATTCTTTTAACAAGTGATCTAAACAAATGACTGCCTAGTTTATACAAAATCTCAATCCCTAAGTAGATTAACTGAAAAACTTAACTATTTAACAGACAACTCCCAGACTAATTTACTTGATGATTCACTTATTATAGTTTATTCAGTACTATTAGTTATGAGTTTAATCATATATTTTGTTTTCCGGAAAAAGGAGGTGGTGATCTTAGTTTATTAGGTATTCTACCATTTTGTGAAGCCCTTGGTTCACAAGCAGTAGCAACAAACATTTGCTAAGAGTCAAGCATCAAGCTCTGAACCTATAATCTTCACAAAAACTTTATTAGGTAGGTGTGATTATTCCCATTTTGTTGGTAAGAAAACAGAGGAACACAAAGTGTAAGCAACTGGTCCAAGATCATAGAACTAGTACATGGTAGAGCTGAGATTCAAGCTCAGGCCATCCGGATGCAGAACTTTACTGTATTGTATTCTGTCAGTACAGACATCAGAGAATGGGACACTAGATGTTAAAATAAAGTTAAGTTAAAATAAAGGGATCAAGTTTAAATATTTAATTAGTTAGTAAAAACAAAATAGCTTCCAGTACTCAGTATAAAAAAGGTGGTTTTCCCTATATAAAGCAAGAGCTTCCAAGGACTGAACCATTAATGTGGTCTTATCTGACGTGTGTGGTAATCAATTACAAAACAGGCTCGCAAACCAGCTATGAAAGGAGCTGTCCTGTACTCACAGCATACCATACATTTCTGTCTCACACAATGGCACTACTACACTTTATTTAAATTACGTGTTTACACATCTGTGTCATTCACTTAGACAGTAAACCACTTAAGAATGGAGATAAGGTCTTAATACTAGAGTTTCAATACCTGATACAATGCTTAGAATGTAATAAATGTTCAATAAATAAAAACTGATGGGGAAGAAGTGTATCAACAAATTGTTGAAAATGTATTAACTCTGAATCATAAACAAACTGATACAGAAATATACTACAGTATCTGCTGAGAAAAGCATTAGCTTTGACTTATAAACAGATTTTTAGAGCAGTCTAAAGAACTAAGAACAAATTTTAGACAGCCACTACTTGTAAGACACAAGGTGCCGGCCGGGACTCTGCTGTCAGCACAAGCAGCACAGACTGCTTTCCTCCTTCCACCGACAGCAAGAAAGGGCAGAACCGCTGTGTGTCATTTTGCAGGTTCATATATTACACAGAGACACCCAGGTGACAGCACAAATCACAGCTCAATGCCAGAAGCATGGTTCCTGCAGTAACACATGGCTCCTGCCCAAAGGAACACCTTTTCTAACCAGCACAGGTTAGAAGGTGCTTATCTGGAGGCCAAGTTCTGCTGAGGAGAAGGTCCACCTCTCTCCAAAGGGAGAGATTCCAGTCTAATTCACACTAAGGTATTACGTGTGCTCTCAGTAGCTCTGTCTGACAGAGTGAAAAACTGATTTAAAAAAAAAAAACTTTCTCTTCATCTACAAGATAGTAATGGCAAAAAATGAGTGCTCAGAGAACGCCAGCGTGTGAAGTTAGAACAGGAAAACCCACTACAGGAGCTTAGGTACATCAAGCCTGTGAAACCTTAAGGTGGGGAGGGAGACAAAATCGACATCCTACAGGCTTACAGTTAATTTAAAGGCCCTCTCACAACAGTTCTTAACTAGCAGTGTAAATTAGAATCACCCCCGAAGCTTTTTTCAACACAGCCAAGCGTAAGGAAAGAACCAAGGCATACAAGCATGGAAGAAGCTCTGATAGTTCAAGTATAACACCTCTATGGCTGTTTTACTGGTGATGTTCAAAACAATATTTTATGGGGTATCTGCTAACCTACATCATAAATCTCTTGAAAAGAGATGAGGTTATTCTCATATCCCCATCTTCCTTCCCACCTGCACAGTTTGCAACTCAATAAATAATTATTAGCAAGATTTTTTCAAGAAAAGTAGAAGATAAGGAATCAACAACTAGATCCACCATCATCAGTTATAAACCACATCTCAATTTCATGGTTAAAATGGGGAAGGCTCTTAAAACTGATGTACTATTCTAATTCCCATCCTGTCACTAATTTTCCAGAATGGCCCTGGACAAATCACTGACCCTTTATTGAGCCTCATTTTCCTTAGGATAAAATTAAGAAATTAAACTACATGACTTCTAAGGTCCTTTCCAGTTCTAAAAGGCTAACAATACAAACAATACCATGTCTGTAGTGAAATGGCATTCAAAATACCAATTATGATCATCTAATTTCATTCTAGTTAGAACACTTAAGAATCGCAAATAATGCTTTGTTTTCAGTTATTCTTACACTCTTTACTCTTAGAAACTAAACTCAACTTGCAGAAGAAAAAATTAATACATTCACCAAATAAAAGTTCATATATCAAATACTAAATATATCATTTATAACATCTACATATACTGTACCTTGACTTTGACAAGTCTTTTTGCTGTCTTGATCTTGGCTTCACAAAAGGCTCCTCTGTATTTAGCACTCACATCAGTGCCCACTGTCAAATAGGGAGGTTCATCAATCGCCTAAAAATGCAAAAACTTATCATTAGATTTAAACTTTTGGGTTCTTTCCCCCAATCAGACTTCAGAATGGCAGATCTAATCCTGTTTCAGCTATAAAAGTTAAAATACATGAATGTATTGTTAACAAGAACAATCTATAAAATACTCTAACTTAAAAATAAGTAAAATATATATCATAAGGTCTATTTACATGTACCAAAATGTACATCAAAGAAGATACAAAGGTATCTTTTTTCTCTACATAAAACACACATGGTCCATGATATGAATTAGCTTAATCACAAGTATGTATCATTCTATCCACCCTTTTATTCAAATTTTTTTTTACTAAATAACCACTGAAAGAAAAGGAGCATCCTTAAAGCTCAAAGAAAATATCTTTTCATATTTAGGCTATTATCTTGGCAGCCACCCAAATTCAGAACAGCTCCCTATCAAGATGACTCTAAAGTAGAACAGTATAAAAGGGGGTAGGGAAAAACCACATAGATTCAAACTACTGGTGAAAACTGTATGAAGAAATCAATTTTGAAAATTCTCAAGTAAAAATCAGCCAAAATGTCTCAACTGCTTTGGCATGAATTCAATGCTTACTTTCCATCTACAATAAATATTATTCTAAGCTTTCTCACTGTGATTTAATTTAATAGTCCTAATCTAGCTGTTTTTTAATAATCAGGTTTTTTTTTCTGCACAGGATCTATAGTTCTAACGGGTTCTACTTACATTAATCAATTCCACAGACAAAGAAAGATTATACAAATAACTTCTCCCAAAATGTTTTACAAGAAATAACTAATATACCAAGATGTGCCACCAGAAAAAAAAAAGAGCTGGGAGTCTGGGGAAATCAGTTTATTGAATGAACTCCCATTCTGTCTCATTATTTCCCAGTCTATTTGTCCAAAGAACCCTTTTTTAAAATTAACATCAATTAACATCCTGAAGAAATTCCCAAAGAATACAAGGTGGAAAAATACTATTATATAGCAATAACCAATGAGAATACCAATTTCATTTGGATCTTAAAATAAATTTACCCCTAATAGTTGTGGCTAATACACGTAGAAGAGAGCTCTAAAAAAATATTCTAATGGTATAACAAAAATTATCATAAAGATAGCAAATAATTTTAACTTTTTGAAAGGTGGGGAGGTATCAGAAACCAAAAAAAGGGGTTACAACTAAACATATCAGGTCACCCTCCTTAATGGCCATTTGCCTCACATATTTTTTAAAAAAACCCTTAAAACATATCTAGTATATGATTTCTTAAATCTACTTAAGAATATGCCTATATTTCAATTTATGCTATAGCAGAAGTGTACCCTCATTAGAAAGATAATCATTTCTGCATGGTTATTTTTAAAATATGCTGATACCATGAACTACAATTTGATAACTCTGTACTAGTCGTGCTCCTAAATTTAATAAATGCATTTCTACTTTATGGCTTAGCCCTCTTAAAATATCATCCTTCTTGCTCAAAATTTTGATTTAATTTCAGACAGGCTAGTGGCTTTCTTTTAGCAAGAATATGAAAAGGATCTGCAGCACTTCACTCAGAAATTGTCAAAAAGACATCAATTCAATTGATAAATTTTGTGTTATTGCCAGAGAAGCCCAGATAAAGGGGCTGCTTCATGACCATAAGGCCCATTAACCTCCACAACTCTCAACCTCTCTCATTAATACTTCCTGCCTCATTAGCCAGTAAAATTTTATTTTCATAGATAAATAGTTTGGTTCAATAAAAATTAACGAGGAACTAGAAATTGTGAAATATAGAAAAGAATGAGAGGTCATCTAAAAGTGCATGTTCGTGCCCAATCAGGAACAAATAAATATTTAAGAAATGACAATAAAGTAATTAGCCTCCAACTAATAAAAATAAATGGGAAAAAAAAAAAAGAAATGGCAAGCTTTTAAGAGACTTTTATTATAAAGAATTTTAAACCAAAAGGGGGGAGGATAGAACAGTAATATTATTTAGACTACTAGTATATATAAACTCATTTAAGTATTCTTTTCACTAATACTCATATCAAACACTGGTCACATTCCAATATTAGCAAACAATAACTATGCTTACTGAGCAAATTTATTCAACTTGAATCTGAAAAAGGTGATTTTTCCTCCAAGTCAAAGCCCATCCCACATTGTAACCAACATGGAAATCCATGTAGATAGAAAAGAATAATAATTAGCTCAGATTTCATGAGGGCAAATTATTATTTTTAGGGAGTAATATTTTCCTTCCTTCACACTAGAACACAGGAAAAGGAATTAGCGAAGTACATAAAGAAAATGTCTGTTAGAAAAATACTTGCAAAGAAAAGTCAAAGTTTAAAAAAAACTTGCTAAATACATTGTTAGGACATTGTTAATTTCTCAAACGGGCATAAGAAAAGCAAAGATCTATGCCCTGATTTTAATTTGTCTCTTTTTTTTTATATCATCATAGGTAAGTTACTTTTTTGTCTCTAATTTCTCTTAATTATTTAGATGAATAATCTGAATTCTGTATATATTTGTTTAGCAAGCCTGCATTTTAACACAGGTTGGAGCAACACAGATGGTCAGAATGGGATACTTTGAAACACATTAATTGTCTAGAAGTGAAACTATGCTAACCAGAATATGAATTTCTACAGAAAAACAAATGAAACTCACAATGTACATGGTCAGATTTGCATACATAATTTTGTTGTTTAGTCACTAAGTTGTGCCTGACTCTCTGCGAACGCATGGACTGTAGCCCACCAGGCTTTTCTCTCTCCATGGGATCTCCCAGGCAAGAATATGGAGTGGGTTGCCATTTCCTTCTCCGGGGGATCTTTCCAATGCAGGAATTAAACTCCTGTCTCCTGCATTGGTAGGCAGATCTTTATCCCTGAACTACCAGGGAAACCCGTATGTAATTTTAGCAGATCATAAATTATCACTTTATAATTAGTGTAATGTGAGACTAATAGTACAGGTTCTCAAAGAGGAAGACATGGTCTTAATCCCAGCTCTATTCATTAAGGCGCATCTTTATGGGCTTCCGAACCTCCCTAAACTTCAGTGTCCATCCATATCAGAAAAATAGGGCTAGTATTAAAAGTACTCAGTTATGATGCCGAAAGTATTTAACTATTCACAATTACTATTATGAAACACTGCGTGTGTGGGCAAACAAGTCATTAAACCAATGTAAATTCGAATTTGGCACCCCCCTCCTTGATTTTCTTTTTAAAATGGGAGAGGCAAAACCTCATTTTAAATTACTGCTCATCCACAGTCATCAAGACAGTATGGTACTGGCACAAAGACAGAAATATAGATCAATGGAACAGAATAGAAAGCCCAGAGATAAATCCACGAACCTATGGTCACCTTATCTTCGACAAAGGAGGCAAGGATATACAATGGAGAAAAGACAACCTCTTTAACAAGTGGTGCTGGACATGGAATATTACTCAGCCATTAAAAAGAATTCATTTGAATCAGTTCTAATGAGATGGATGAAACTGGAGCCCATTATACAGAGCGAAGTAAGCCAGAAAGATAAAGAACATTACAGTATACTAACACATATATATGGAATTTAGAAAGATGGTAACGATAACCCTATATGCAAAACAGAAAAAGAGACTCTGATGTATAGAACAGACTTGTGGACTCTGGGAGAAGGCGAGGGTGGGATGTTTCAAGAGAACAGCATCGAAACACGTATATTATCTAGGGTGAAACAGATCACCAGCCCAGGTTGGGTGCATGAGACAAGTGCTCGGGCCTGGTGCACTGGGAAGACCCAGAGGGATCGGGTGGAGAGGGAGGTGGGAGGGGGGACCGGGATGGGGAGTACATGTAAATCCATGGCTGATTCATCTCAGTGTATGACAAAAACCACTGCAATGATGTAAAGTAATTAGCCTCCAACTAATAAAAATAAATGAAAAAAAAAAAAAAAAAAACAAGTGGTGCTGGGAAAACTGGTCAACCACCTGTAAAAGAATGAAACTAGAACACTTTCTAACACCATACACAAAAATAAACTCAAAATGGATTAAAGATCTAAATGTAAGACCAGAAACTATAAAACTCCTAGAGGAGAACATAGGCAAAACACTCTCCGACATAAATCACAGCAGGATCCTCTATGACCCACATCCCAGAATTTTAGAAACAAAAGCAAAAATAAACAAATGGGACCTAATGAAACTTAAAAGCTTTTGCACAACAAAGGAAACTATGAGCTAGGTGAAAAGACAGCCCTCAGATTGGGAGAAAATAATAGCAAACGAAGCAACAGACAAAGGATTAATCTCAAAAATATACAAGCAACTCCTCCAGCTCAACTCCAGAAAAATAAATGACCCAATCAAAAAACGGGCCAAAGAACTAAACAGACATTTCTCCAAGGAAGACATACAGATGGCAAAAAAACACATGAAAAGATGTTCAACATCACTCATTATCAGAGAAATGCAAATCAAAACCACAATGAGGTACCATTACATGCCAGTCAGGATGGCTGCTATCCAAAAGTCTATGAGCAATAAATGCTGGAGAGGGTGTGGAGAAAAGGGAACCCTCTTACACTGTTGGTGAGAATGCAGATTAGTACAGCCACTATGGAAAACAGTGTGGAGATTTCTTAAAAAGCTGGAAATAGAACTGCCATATGACCCAGCAATCCCACTTCTGGGCATACACACCGAGGAAACCAGATCTGAAAGAGACACGTGCACCCCAATGTTCATCGCAGCACTGTTTATAATAGCCAGGACATGGAAGCAACCTAGATGCCCATCAGCAGACGAATGGATGAGGAAGCTGTGGTACATATACACCATGGAATATTACTCAGCCATTAAAAAGAATTCATTTGAATCAGTTCTAATGAGATGGATGAAACTGGAGCCCATTATACAGAGTGAAGTAAGCCAGAAAGATAAAGACCATTACAGTATACTAACCCATATATATGGAATTTAGAAAGATGGTAACGATAA